AAGCACGATACAGAAATTTAAACTACGGAAGCTAACTTATGGTAATTTTATGGGACATTTAAAAGTTTTTTCGGGATCAAAAGTTTAATTGTCTGTATCTCGCTTTATAATTTTTCTGAAAAATAATTTTGTTGCTATCTTGTAGCAAATTTCAAGGGCTATCCTAAGAGTCCAAAATAAAAATTTATAATAATCCATAAGAGGTCGAAAATATTTTTTAAAGTTGAAAAACCCTGTTTTACATTGATTTTCGAGGTCTCAGGATCTCGGCTTAGGGTAAAGCTATGGACCTACTTTCTTTTTATTTTTTTATAATATCAATATATAAGTTTACTGGAATTTTTGTAGATTTTTACTATTGTTGGAAATAACATTTTTGGAAAGTGGACGTATAATTTTGCGTAGGTCGAAAACACAAATTTTGATCTAAAAATTTTTAAGATAAAAATACTTCCAAAAATCCATACAAATCTTGTTAGATATTCACTAAAATATGTGTATTTAAATTTTCAGAAAATTAGGATCAATACAAATGAAAAAATTTCGAAAAAATGGGATGGACGTATAATTTTGCGTTTCAGTGCGGTACTTAAAATTGTATAATATTCTATTAATTTGGGGGATTAAAATTTGACTTTATTGCTATATATTGTTTTTCATTATTTTTGATAAATTTTTTCTGAAATTATTGTGTTAAATCTTCTGCCAAAAATCCTGTTTTACGTTGATTTTTAATCAAGTAGAACCAGGGTTCGGTTTCGTACTATTTTGGAAGTACAGTACTTACAAATCGACCAATGTATTTCCAAAATTAAGAATGTACTTATTTCTAAGTATGTACATACAGATAATATAAGTAAAATCAACTTTTTGGTTAAAAAATTAAATTTAACATTAAAATTTCCAAAATTTTTGCCTGCGGCGCAAAAAAGGAAGATGTTAGACTTAAGAATCTTCCAAAATTTTCACCTTCGGGCCAAAAATCAAAGACTTTTGTGGGGTCTTCGGCACCACAAAATTTTTGAAAAAATTTTTGTAGCGTACTTATATTTTGAAAATTTTTCCCCTATGTACTTTCAACACTTAAAATTTTCTAGATCCGAACGCTGATTAGAACAAATCCTTCAACTATTTAAAGCATTCTGTATAGGCCATTATTCTAAGTTTATTGCCTCTAGAACGATTTTAAATTTCGTAAATTTTTGATCTCAGCATTTTTTTTAAATTATGAATTGTCTTTACTTTAATCTCAATTTACAGATATTTTTCTATCCCTTCAAATCCACAGAAATCTCTCTCAAACACTCTTGTTCACTCGATATCACGCACAAATTCCTCGGTATTTCATTTAAGCTGTAATGAAATATTACTAAACATCGATAAAAATTAGGATTGGACAATGAAAATTATCAATTAGGTCTTGATGAAGATTAAGGTTATTGTCTCCTTATAATTTATTTCATTTACTTTTTTATTTAAATTTTTTCTGCTTTTACTAGATTGCATCTCGTGTATCTAATCTTAATTTTTTGGATGTCGGATAACCCAGACAAAAATTAGAAGCGCGTTAATCAGATGCGCGCTAGCGCATCTGATTCCGTGATGATAGTTTGTATATAATATGTATATTTTCAATTATATGTATAAATAGATATACAAATGGAATAAATGGCTCATAATTAAAGACCAAGGGTTAAATTGGATCAAATTAAATTTAGACTCTTGTTTATGATTAGGCAAACATTGGTTGTTATAATCACTAAACAAGTGATCTTCTTGTTTAGGAAAAATTTTAATTTGTTTCAGCTGAAAAGAATATCCAAATGAAGAGAATCCAAAAAACGAGCCGGAGCCAAGCCCCGGAGCCAAGAGCCAATCAGTTGAAAACCTCAAAGCCGGAGCCAATAAATGCCTAATAACCAGCACTGATCTGGCTACATGCCTTCTAAAATTCTTAAAATATTCACTGCGGCGCTAATTCATTGAAGCATATTAATTGGATAAAATATGAATGGGATATTCGGGATAAAATATCAAGGCATATACCGGTTTCGGTTAACCGAAAATCGTGGGTCAATAGAAAATCGAACCCGAAAACCGGAGGTAGTGGAACGGCCAAAACCGAAAACCCAGTTTTCCCTTCTGATACTTTTGTGTAATTCTGAACCTGCCCCACTCCCTTATTTTTTCCTTCTCTTAGAGTTTAAATGAAGATCAGATTTTCCCCTTTCATTTTTCTCTATGATATACATATTCAAAGATGGGAGAAGATTAATTCACCAAATTATTTTTTGCCTTCGGAAATGAAAAAAGCAGTAAAAAACATTGATTTATTGTTGTATAACATTATTTATTTCTGTGTTAAACGATTTACATTTTCTTTCTTTCAAGTCATATAACATTTTCCTTAATTTTCTTTAATTTTGTTTATTTTCATTTATTAAGTACGTTCAACTTTTTATTAACCTGCGAAACTCTTCTGGGGAAAGGATGGACTTTATCAATATAAAATATTAACTTAACGTTCGTTTGTATTTACACCAATTTTGACTTTCCAAAATTTTATTAGAATATTGAAGAACATTGAACTAATTGCTATTATGTAGTTTAATAGAAATTAGTTCATGTCGAGTAACATGTTTTCGAGCTCGAGTAATCCAAGTATTAGGATCTCTTGTTTCGAGCCGAGTTGAGTAAGTCGAACTACTCGACTCGGACGTACTCCAATTTATATCAATGATGAAATTACGGTTAAGGACGTGCTGAAACGGAAACGGGCTTTGACGGTTTTATATTTACTTTCATTTAAGTCATCTAACATTTTTCGTAATTTTCTATAATTTTGTTTATTTTATTTTAATTTTTTCGTTCAATAATTGAGAATATTGAACTAATTTTTATTTTTAGACTTAATCAATTTCTATTTAATTAAACGCAATATGTCTACTAGCGGTCCAAATTCATCGAGAAATCGTGTTCTTACCGTGGATACAATCAATCGTATCGTGATGGCTGTAAGATTTTTAATTTTGTTAACAGTAAAAATTAATTTTCCAGGAACAAAGCTGCACCTCGATAGAGTGTTTACAGCCAAAATTGAGACGCTCTTGCAATGGGACAAACTTCATTAATCTTATGAAGTAAATTTTCTATTTTTTGGTTCTTTTTGCTACAAATTTGGTTCAAATTATTTCGTGAAGTCAATTTTTTGTGGGGGTTTTTTGGAAAAATTTGTTCGCAATCGTTTGCGGAAATTTTATTTTTTTCTATTTCAAAAATTTTTCCATTTCTGAGGTTTTGTCTTTTCGGGGATAAAAAAATTCAATTTCCAAAAAAACCAAATTTCTCATTTTCAAGGCAAGTAATTTCGTGTACGTCTAATCCTTCCTTGTTAAAAAGTAATTTCTATCTAGAAGATGTGAAACAGATGTCTTTGAGTTTGTTGGATGTTTGTGGAGGAAAGTGTTGGTTTGTGATTTTTGTTAAAGAAGAAAATCTGTCTTCTAAAGTTTTTCTTTAAAAATTTTTTTCAAAGATTTATAATCGTAAAGAGGCTACTTCAAAAATCTAAAAATTTTCGGTACTTGTGTGTTATCCCTGCGAACTTTTTTTGCGGACACAATTGTACAGAATGGTAAATTTTCTCCCTCGTTAAGGATTAATTTATAGGTATACATTTATTTGAAAAGGAAAATATACAAAAGAAAAATCATTCCAATGACAAAAATTTCCTCAAAAACGTCCTTTTCTCCAATCATTTTTCTCTAAATATTCTCGGCAGAATAAATTTCCAAATGATGACGTGCTGTACCACGATGCTTTTTATTCCTTCATTTTTCACTACCCAAATCCTTTTCACCTTTTGAATATTGCATCCTGTCTCTGGTCGATAAATGAAATTGTTTGTAATACAATTTCATTTTATGACCATTTCGGCACATTTGTTTTATGTGAAAGGCTCGATTCTGTAAAAATCAATGAAATGCTTATAGTTTCCGGCAAATCCTAAATTTTCATTATAAAAGATCACTAGCTAAAAAACTTAGAAAGTAAAAAATTAGACTACACTTAATCTTGTTTGATTGGTTAACATGTTCAAGGGATAGAGGGAAGAAGAAAACTTAACATTATGTACAATTGTGTCCGCAAAAAAGTTCGTAGCAATAACACAAGTACCAAATTTTCTTTGAGAAATTTAGTTTTTCATTTGTAAAGGTGCCTACACTCAAAGAAACGGAATCGAACTTATCCGAAAACACATTGCTATATTCATCGAAAGATGTAAAATTTCTTGTGATTTGGACAATATTTGCATTTCTGTTGGTGCTTCAGAAGCTATTCGTGTTTCTTTTTTGATTACTTAAAAAACATTAAAGAATATTGTCAGCAAAAACCTGCGGACATTCCACAAGTTTTTTTTGGTTTTAAATCTCAAAACGTCTTAAAATTGGCTAAAGTTCGTTGTATGGGTCCGAGCTTAATATTGATGATTTATATGTCATTCAAAAGAGCTCGTCGAGCTGAGTCGAAAGAAAAATTAGCCCGTGAACTTAACTTCGAGTCGAAATACTGTACCTTAAATTTCAAGTAACAAAATGGGGTACCAAGCACATTTTTGTGGGTGAAAATTTCGAATATAATTAAAATAATAAAATCAAAGAATATGACTTTTTTGATAATGTTATTAGTTTGTTTTAACCACTTTTATCTGGCCTACGCAGAAATATTTTCTGCCGTTACGGACAAAGTCTCCGCCATCGAAGCCACTTGTTCGTGTCAGCACAAAACTGTTTTTCCAGCGAAAATTCAATTCGCTGAACTTTGTTCATAAAATTATTTTGGTATTTTCGACTCCGCTCGTCGGGCTCTTTAATCAATTTCATTTCTTATATAAAATTCTCCATGATGTTTTATCATTTTGTTTCCTTTAAATTATTGTCTCCGCTTGACGAATTTTTAAATGATGGGCCCGACAGAACTCATCTACATCCTGGACATTTATGGGATCTAAATGCAAAATTTGCAAGAAGAAACTCATTGATGATTTTGAGAAAAATAAATATTTAATTTCGCGTTCCCCCTCCCCATTTACTTCCCCACAATCCTCTCCCCACTTTTTCCCACCCTCAACTCCAAGTATTCCCATCCCTAAAATTCCTCCACCTCCTCCACCACCACAACTTCAAATTCTTCTTAATCTCATTCCTCCTCCTCCTATACCACCACAACTTCCACCTTTTCTTAATTTCTTTCCTCCTCCTCCACCTCCACCACTCAACTTCCATCTCCTCTTCATCTTCTTTCTCCTCCTCCACCATCACCACAACTTCCACCTCCAACTCTTCTTAATCTCCTTGTTTTCCTCATCCACCACCGCCTTATTTAAATTAAAAATTGTTATATATTTTAGATATTTTAATTTAATTATTTTTTATTTTATATTTAAGCTAAATTTAATTAACTATTATGTTAAAATTAATAGCCCAGAAAACAATCTCAGCTTGATTCTGGGTTAGTATTTCTTATATTTAATCCTCATAAAATGCTGAATTTAGCATTTATATTAATTAATTTTTATAAAAATATTCAAATTTTAAAGAAAAATTTTGCTTTTAGCTATTTTTTATATATTTAAATTCAAAGTTTCATTTACGTATTTGAATTTTTAAATAATTTTTAAAAAATTTAAAATAATTTCGTAAAAATTAATTAATATAAATTATAGATAAAAATATTTTTTCGGCCAGAATTGTATATTATTAAATTTTATTATTAAATTTTATTTTATTTAAATTTTATTATGTACTTTTTTAAAAATTTCAAGCAAAGCCGGGAGCAGAGATGGACGAAAATTTCGTTTTGTGGACGAAAATAAACGCCTATAGGTAGGAAGAAAAAGAAAAGAAGAGGAATTTTTCTTTACGTTCCTTAAGGCAAAGGAAAAGAAGAGGAAGGAAATTCATAATTTCCTTAAAGCTAAAAAAGAAGAAGAGGGAACACGAAACGAAAAATTTTCGTCCATCTCTGGCCGGGAGTACGTAGAATTATTTTCTTGTTAGTCAAATTGTTCTTTTTCTTTAACTATTGATTAAATGTTTTTGTTTTATGTATAAAGTTTAAATATCTTCATTTTATTTTTTTCGAGTTAAAACCAGTCACTTTTTAAATATTTTAAATCACTTTTTATTTAATACATGTATGATTTTACTTATTTTTCCAATTAATTTTTAGTACTTAAATAAATTTAAAAAAAATGTTTTCTTTGCCAATTGAAGTTCAACTTGATATTTTTAAATATCTTAATTATGAAGAATTATATTCAGTCAAGCAAACAAATTTATATTTTCGCGAATTTATTGATAAATATGAAGGAGAATTTGCTCGGGAGAAATATGATGAAATTTGTATTGTAATGCTTTTTATTTAATTTAAATTTTTAAAAAAGCTTTTAAGGAATACTTAAACCAATATAAAGACGATCCTTATAAATTAATTAAACCAAAATTTGAAAATTTTGACTTTCCATTGAATGAACAACTTAAAGAGAAGGTGATTAAAATATTTTGTGTCGAACTATCTCACGGAACGACAAGTCAAAGAATTACCAAATTATGGAACGATCAACTCACGGATTTTGAAAAATTTGAACATTTAAGAAAAATACTTTTTTTTTTAAATTAGAATATTCTAAAGAACAGAATTCAAAAAATCTGAAAAATTCTGATTTCTAACAATTTTTTTATTTTTAAAATATTCCGAATTTTGGTAATTCCTTGACTAGTTCCGCGACCTGTCTGTTCCGTGAGTTGGAATTCCTAGAGTTAGCCCCCACCCAAATATTTAAGGTTTAAATTTCCTTTTTTAGTTGGAGAATGGACTAGAAAAACCAATTCATTTGTATTTATCTGATGAAGAATCAGACAATGAAGAACTTATTATTAGTTTAAAAAAAGGTCAAATTTTGTTTAATAATACCTTTTTCGAGGTAGAAAGTATTTATGATAAGAAGTATGGGTCGAAACAGAGGTGTGTCGGAATTCCGATTTCCAACGTTTTTTCCGATTTCCGAAAAAAATTGATTTCCGAGTTCCGACTTTCGAGCCAGTTCCGATTTCCGACACCTCTGACTGTACCGACTTACCTCTGGTTCGAACGAAAGGGGTAGGCATCCCCCGTGCTAGTATGATCCAATTAGTTTGACGCTAACACTTGCTTTTGTAGTAATAATTAAGGTTGCACCACGAAAGTCGGGTGTGTCGGGGTACGTAGTTTTTGAATTGTTTCGGGTCTGGGAAGCAAAATATGTCGGGGTACTGGGTCTAAATGGATTTTTTTCGGTTCAGGTCGGGAAAATCTGAAAAAATCCTTCGGGGATAGGGGTCAGGGTGCAACTCTACTAATAAGCCGACGTCTTATAGTAAAACCACATACACAAATGCTAAAATAACGGCAGGATGCGGGCAAATTTAAAGCTTAACTTTTCTGTTAAGCTTGGCTATAATGTTAACATGTTCTCTTAATTAAAAAAAATTTTTTTAGTTTACGTCGATAAATACCATCTTGTTATCTTACAACTACCAACAATTATTGAAAATAAAGAAGACTTCAAAATTGTCTATTATTATTTAAATAAATTATTTAATTGTTATTTTAATATTGGAGACTTTCATACATTTTTATTCAACCCTGAATTGATCGAATTATTATTTGGAAGAATTCCTAAACAATTTTATATTCGATCATCTTTGATATCTATTTGGTACAATACTGAAAATTGTTTAAATTCTGTATTGAATCATTTGATTATTACTGACTATATTAAAATTGATTTTTGGGATCTTGAAGATGATACAGAATATGCAGATATTTTATTTAAAATTTTAACGAGTGGAAACAATTTTAACGAAGTCAATTTAAGGTTTAATGCCTTACAAAAACTTTTTGAACTTGTTTTAACTGTAAGTTTCTGGTTATTTTTAAATTATTTTTTGGTCAGTGATGATATAAATAGATAAAAAATGATATAAAAAATTAAAGATTGGACATACAGAGAGGACTATTTAAAAAAGGATTTTGGGGGGATTAAAAGAGATATAGAGGGATTTGTTTACATTGAGGCCGATATCTCAGGTTTGGGAAAATATTGTTGTATTAAGATTGAGATCAGCCGATTTGTAGGGACAGCAGTGGCTTTTTATCTCTTTATTTCATTACTTTTATCACTTTATATCATCACTGACTTATCGTCTTCTGATGCATTTTACGCATTGTCCGGTGCCCTTAAAACTAGAGATCAATATTTTTAAAAATCCAAAATCCATCAATGTCTCCATGAAATCCTTTTAATCCCTTATATTCTCTTGAACCTCACAAATCCTCTGATATCGTTCTTAATCTCGCACTTCTTATCCCTCTATATCCTCTCATTGAGACTGAACCGAGTTAAATAAAATGAAGACTGAACCGTTCTGACCAAAAAGCAGTATATTTTAGTCGACTCTGGATCTAGGAAAAATCCAGAATGGATCCAGTTCCAGACCGATCTCTTTCAAAATAAAATTTATTTTTGAATATTTTAATTTTTTCTTGCAATAATAGTTTATTGAAACGTCAAATGAATGCTCAAAAATGGTGGCTAATATTGAATTAAATAATTTAAATATTCCTTTTACTGGTTTGAATGGAAGAGCTGAAAAGATTGAAGAACATTTAAGCGAGGGTTATTTAGCAACAAAATACCAACTTTCCAACAAATTCAATCCAAATATTAAATTCTCAATTTTATGCAAGAGGAATATTGTAGAAATTAAACGAAATTAAACTATGGCATTTTAATTTTATTATAATTTCTTTATTATTGTGTTGATAAATTTTATAGAAAAATATTGTTTTAATTTTTAAAATATATTTTAGGTTTAGCATAATAAAAAAATTGTTAATTTATTTATGAATGTTATTAATTGATTTTAGGAAATAACTTAAATTTTTTGGTAATACATTTAAGTCGCCCCTTTTTCTTTACTAAGTTTTTATGACAATTTATATGTTTATGACAATTTATATTATTAAGGGCGAGGTAAATACTCAAGGGATTTGTTAAGTATATCCTATGATACAGCTCGTCGTGCCGTGTCAATGATGCTAAAAATCGAACAAAGTTAGGATCTTTTGTTTTATACCCTTGCATCTACTCACAAAGTTTTCTAAAAAGTATTCGGCTTCATAATTTTGTTTAGACCCGTCTTACTAAATCACGGAACGACCATAACACGGAATGACCAAAATCGGTCCGAATGGTCGGACAAATCAAGGGATTTGTTAAGACCTTGAGTTGTCCGACCTCTTTTGTCGTTCCGTCTCTTGTCTATTTTGTCCAGACGATTGTATTGTTGAAAAATTAATCCTTTTCTTATTAAAGTCTAATATTTGAATGTACCTCAAGGAAAATTAAGGGCTAGGTTTAGGATAATTAATTTCCATTATTTCATATAAAGAAAAATGGTAGGTGACTAGTGTAAGGAAGTGACAAGTGCAAGGAAGGAGGAAAAATATGATTCCGTACCTACTTTAAGATAGGCCCGAAAAAATTAATAAAATAAACGGTACTTGAAATTAGTTTGGATATTAAATTAATTTATGGGAGATGTTAAGTATACCGCAGTATTGATTCCAAATAAACCAGGAAATAAAATTTTAAAAAATTACCAAATAAAATTATTTAATTTTATAAAATAGACATAAAAGAATCGACGATTTTGTTTTAAATTTCTCTCGTAAGCATTTTTTAATTTCCATGGCTTTCACGTGTAAATAAAATAAAATTTAAATGTTTGATTAACTGGAATGGGTATACCTTTCTTAATTTTAAATTGCGTTGGAAGTAGAAAAATGGCAAATTTAAAAAATGCGGATTAAATTTGCGGACTAAAATTTATTTTTTTATTGATGGAATTTAATAAATTTGAAAAAAGGGTCTATCTTAAAAAAGGGTTGAATTATCTTTTGATTGTTTTTCCGTAGTTTTAGCTATAATCTTGTTTTTATGATATCTACATATGTTACCAAAAATGAAGAGACTGGATAATAATTACCGTAAATGTCCTGATAGAAGACCATCCCTAATAGAAACCCAACAATTCGGATGAGCCTTTCACGTGTAAACAATGATTATTTACTCATTATTATAGGTACAAATTTTTAGGCTTATTAGCCTGCGTTGTATGAGCTGACCTCAATTTTACGTATTTTACGTACTTTTTCGTACTTTTCCACAATTTTACGTACTTTTTCATTTCCATGTGTGTAGGTAGAAAGAAAATCCGACTGAATGGTAGAAACATGGTCGATATAAGAGCTTATGATTTATAGTATGTATATTTTTATATATCTAGTAAAAACCAAGAATAGATTTAATTTTCATTTACCCAACAAATTCAAATTCTAAAGCTTTTAATTTAGTAAAAATAAAATTATTGAATAAATTTAAAATTCATCCGCAATAAATTTAAAATTTTCTAAAGCCCCCTCACGCTAAAGACAAGAAGTCATGCGATTTTAAAAATTTTTATTTAAATTGCCAAATTAAAATTAAAATTGGAAAATTTTAATACGTGGGTAAATTTTAAGTGGTAATATTTCCAACTAAGCAAATTTTTTTGTTGTAAACCCCACAGAATTAGAGAAAATTATAATAAAATATCTCTTACCTTAACCATATTTGGCTTTGATAATTCGTCTGGAAAAATTTTTACTCAACTCCATATAAAAGCTGTAAGCATGCCCCCATCCATATCATTCTCTAAAATCATTCATTACTTCATTCCCCCTTCAAATAATTCTATAACTTAACTGGAAAATTTATAAAATAAACTCTACTTTGAAATGAAACTTTCCGTTTCTTTTTTAAATCTGTTGACTCTAGTCTTTTTACTTCAATGTATTCACTTTGTTTATGTGAATGGAGATTGCCCTGCAGGCTGGTCATCGTTTACGGACTCAAATGGAACCGAATATGGGTATCAAGTGGTGTTGAAAAATAACGTCAGCTATTTTGAGGTCCGTGTTTTTTAATGTTTTTTGAATTAAAAAAATATTTATTGTATAAAGAATCATCTACTAAAATTAAATTATAGGCGAGAAGGCTGTGTCTGGATATCAACAGCGAAATTGTTGATATTCACAGCAGAGAGGAGAATGAGTACATGTATAGTCTGGCCGCTAATACATCTGCTCAAAATCTGTTTATTGGAATGCATTATAAACTTAACGAGACTTCTCGAACTTCTGAAGTTTATTGTACTTGGACACCTGATATTAGTTGTGATTTTGCATATTTTCAAAACCAATCGGATCCACGTAGACAACAATATCCATGGGTGCCTATTCCAAAGGCACAGAATAATGGAAGTATGTAAAAAATTTTTATTATGAAAATCAAAGGACTTATAAGGAAACGAAATGCGTTGATCATTTATACTTGGACATAGATTCAAGCAGTTCAAGCGCTTCAATCTTAAAAAGATTTAAAGAAAAATTATTATAAAAAATTCATTAATCTATTAAGATCCTGTCGAATGCGTAGAAATTACTGACACAAGTTTGGGAATAGGAACTCCAGCATTTATGTATAACGACATTGCTTGTGCCGATAGGCTTGATGGAGCAGTCTGCAAAATGACTTGTTCTAATGGAAACAATGCAGCAACAACTCTCGGAACTTTAACGACATTAAATGGACAGAATGTAGCAACAATTTCAACAACTGGATCTGGAGGAAATAATCCTGGCCCAACACCTCCAACAAGAACAGGTGGCACAGGTGCCCCAGGCCTTCCAGGCAAATTAATTTAATAAATTAATATTTTAGGATAACATCAAACATTTTTTAATTATTTTCATATTTTTAAGGTAGCCCTGGATTGCCCGGTTTACCCGGAAATGGAGGAAATAACCCTGGTCCACGCCCAACACCTCCAACAAGAACAGGTGGCACAGGTGCCCCAGGACTTCCAGGCATTTTAATTTAATAAATTAATATTTTAGGATAATATCAAACATTTTTTAATTATTTTCATATTTTTAAGGTAGCCCTGGATTGCCCGGTTTACCCGGAAATGGAGGAAATAACCCTGGTCCACGCCCAACACCTCCAACAAGAACAGGTGGCACAGGTGCCCCAGGACTTCCAGGCAAATTAATTTAATAAATTAATATTTTAGGATAATATCAAACATTTTTTAATTATTTTCATATTTTTAAGGTAGCCCTGGATTGCCCGGTTTACCCGGAAATGGAGGAAATAACCCTGGTCCACGCCCAACACCTCCAACAAGAACAGGTGGCACAGGTGCCCCAGGACTTCCAGGCAAATTAATTTAATAAATTAATATTTTAGGATAATATCAAACATTTTTTAATTATTTTCATATTTTTAAGGTAGCCCTGGATTGCCCGGTTTACCCGGAAATGGAGGAAATAACCCTGGTCCACGCCCAACACCTCCAACAAGAACAGGTGGCACAGGTGCCCCAGGACTTCCAGGCAAATTAATTTAATAAATTAATATTTTAGGATAATATCAAACATTTTTTAATTATTTTCATATTTTTAAGGTAGCCCTGGATTGCCCGGTTTACCCGGCAATGGAGGAAATAACCCTGGTCCACGCCCAACACCTCCAACAAGAACAGGTGGCACAGGTGCCCCAGGACTTCCAGGCAAATTAATTTAATAAATTAATATTTTAGGATAATATCAAACATTTTTTAATTATTTTCATATTTTTAAGGTAGCCCTGGATTGCCCGGTTTACCCGGAAATGGAGGAAATAACCCTGGTCCACGCCCAACACCTCCAACAAGAACAGGTGGCACAGGTGCCCCAGGACTTCCAGGCATTTTAATTTAATAAATTAATATTTTAGGATAATATCAAACATTTTTTAATTATTTTCATATTTTTAAGGTAGCCCTGGATTGCCCGGTTTACCCGGAAATGGAGGAAATAACCCTGGTCCACGCCCAACACCTCCAACAAGAACAGGTGGCACAGGAGCTCCAGGCCTTCCAGGCATTTTAATTTAATAAATTAATATTTTAGGATAATATCAAACATTTTTTAATTATTTTCATATTTTTAAGGTAGCCCTGGATTGCCCGGTTTACCCGGAAATGGAGGAAATAACCCTGGTCCACGCCCAACACCTCCAACAAGAACAGGTGGCACAGGAGCTCCAGGCCTTCCAGGCAAATTAATTTAATAAATTAATATTTTAGGATAATATCAAACATTTTTTAATTATTTTCATATTTTTAAGGTAGCCCTGGATTGCCCGGTTTACCCGGAAATGGAGGAAATAACCCTGGTCCACGCCCAACACCTCCAACAAGAACAGGTGGCACAGGAGCTCCAGGCCTTCCAGGCAAATTAATTTAATAAATTAATATTTTAGGATAATATCAAACATTTTTTAATTATTTTCATATTTTTAAGGTAGCCCTGGATTGCCCGGTTTACCCGGAAATGGAGGAAATAACCCTGGTCCACGCCCAACACCTCCAACAAGAACAGGTGGCACAGGTGCCCCAGGACTTCCAGGCATTTTAATTTAATAAATTAATATTTTAGGATAATATCAAACATTTTTTAATTATTTTCACATTTTTAAGGTAGCCCTGGATTGCCCGGTTTACCCGGAAATGGAGGAAATAACCCTGGTCCACGCCCAACACCTCCAACAAGAACAGGTGGCACAGGTGCCCCAGGACTTCCAGGCAAATTAATTTAATAAATTAATATTTTAGGATAATATCAAACATTTTTTAATTATTTTCATATTCTTAAGGTAGCCCTGGATTGCCCGGTTTACCCGGAAATGGAGAAAATAACCCTGGTCCACGCCCAACACCTCCAACAAGAACAGGTGGCACAGGTGCCCCAGGACTTCCAGGCAAATTAATTTAATAAATTAATATTTTAGGATAATATCAAACATTTTTTAATTATTTTCACATTTTTAAGGTAGCCCTGGATTGCCCGGTTTACCCGGAAATGGAGGAAATAACCCTGGTCCACGCCCAACACCTCCAACAAGAACAGGTGGCACAGGTGCCCCAGGACTTCCAGGCAAATTAATTTAATAAATTAATATTTTAGGATAATATCAACCATTTTTTAATTATTTTCACATTTTTAAGGTAGCCCTGGATTGCCCGGTTTACCCGGAAATGGAGGAAATAACCCTGGTCCACGCCCAACACCTCCAACAAGAACAGCTGGCACAGGAGCTCCAGGCCTTCCAGGCAAATTAATTTAATAAATTAATATTTTAGGATAATATTAAACATTTTTTAATTATTTTCATATTTTTAAGGTAGCCCTGGATTGCCCGGTTTACCAGGAAATGGAGGAAATAATCCTGGTCCACGCCCAACACCTCCAACAAGAACAGCTGGTACAGGAGCTCCAGGACTTCCAGGCAAATTAATTTAACAAACTAATATTTTAGGATAATATTAAACATTTTTTAATTATTTTCATATTTTTAAGGTAGCCCAGGATTGCCCGGTTTACCAGGAAATGGAGGAAATAATCCTGGTCCACGCCCAACACCTCCAACAAGAACAAGTGGCACAGGAGCTCCAGGACTTCCAGGCAAATTAATTTACCAAACTAATATTTTAGGATAATATTAAACATTTTTTAATTATTTTCATATTTTTAAGGTAGCCCTGGATTGCCCGGTTTACCAGGAAATAATCCAGGTCCGCGCCCTACACCTCCAACAAGAACTGCTGAAACTACTTTACAAACTTCGACTTCTGTCGGAAGAAATACTCCTTTACAAAATACTCCTACACCAGCTAGACCGATTAATACAATTACTAGCAGACCATCTACCTTGCAACCCCCTACAGTTGAGCATAATACTCCAGAGCAACCTACACCAACACCAGCAAGACCCATTATTACTAACGGACCTACTACTTCGCAAGCCCCATCGACAACAATTGCACAAAATACCCCTAGCACTCCTGGGTGTGGAAATTGTAATTGCAGTGTTGAATACAAATGTGGTTCTGATGACTGGCACTGGAAGATTGGCAAAAATGGCAAATCATATGCTTATAAGTACTTCGATTCTGATGGCTGCTATTTTGATGTATGTCGTATTTTTTTATAAATTTAGTTTAATAATTTACATAGGCATCAGCCATCTGCGCTAAACACAATGCCACCCCATGCTCAGTTCATTCTGATGAAGAAAACTCCTTCTTGATTGATTCTGTCATTTCCAAATCTGAGCGATCTAAGAGAGACGTTTCACAAACTGATAAATGTGTATGGATTGGTCATCACTTAGTTCATAATGAAAAAGAGAATACTAACGATTGCTATTGTGATGATAGCAGCGAATGCTCATTTGGATATAAAAACGTTAGTAATACAATATTATTGTTAATCTACCCAAAATTTAGGTTACCAAGCATGAAAGCAAGAAAGACAAAAAGAAAAAAAACAAAAAATGTAGCTGCAACAAGACCAAAAAACCAAAAGCGACCACTCCATTCTCTTTGGTTACAGAACCATCAGAGCCATCAGGTCCCTGGGCTCCTGGATGTCCATCGAAACCCGGATCAGATGATGGATCTTATGGCAAAAAGCATTGTGTCGCTATAGACCATAACGGAAAATGGAAAGATTGTAGTTGTGAACGACCCGGAACTGGTATCGTCTGCAAGAAGGAGTGCTCTCCATAAGCATAAAAATAATAAGAGAAGTTTGAATGATGAAAGAAAAATGAGGATGTATAAGATTTGAAAATATATTAATGTGATAAAATTCTATAAACATTTTTGGTAAATTTTTTAAAGTGATAAATTATCTGATTCTTACTTACGAGTTTTTAGTTTTGACTTAATATCAAACCAACAAAACTACTTGAGATAAAATTTTCGTATTTTGAAAAGAATATAGGCTTCATCCAATTAGTATACATTATGAACTTCTAAATGAACTATTTTCTTAAGGACATTCTTTAAAAATTATTCTTAGAACATCCAATTTGCGATCCACCCCTTAGCTGAATATACAAAGTACCTTCCAACATTTGTAAATTATTCAGCTAAAAACTGAAGAATTTTCAGTTTTGTAAAAAAAATAAATGGAACACCTATAGCTGAACTTTCAATTTTTATTTATTTAAGATCTACAAAAATTTTCCAAACCAAAATGACGCATAATATATTTTCCGACCTTCAAATTGTCAAAAAAAGAAGTTACTTTATTATACTGAAATTTTAGAAATATCTATATTAATTCAAATATTTTATTTTTTAATGAATTTAATCTTCTTCAAATATCTTTCCTTTTAACATTTATTTTTCTTCTCGCTTGGATCCAAATATTTAATTTCCAGAACGTCCAACTGTGTGTATACTAGCAGTCCCATAACGACGAACTGTTGTTTGAATTGTTGTGCGAATACGAATAACTGTGGATTGGGCTTTGGTAATTCCCAAATAACGAAAAACAGAACGTCTCAAAATAGTAAATTAATTATGATAAATTTAAATGTCGGGATAGGATGGAATTTATTTAATAAATGAAATTTTGGGGGGATATCAGAAAATTACGTAGGATAGAAGGATATGGAGGGATATAAGAAGACTATTTGGGTCCTCCGATATCTCTTTTATGTAAATTGGTTGAGAAATCCATCTTATTACTCGATAAATCATAGCGCCGAAGGCAAAAATTTTGGCAGGAAGCAAGTATCTTGGGCTGGAATCTTGGGGGGGGGGGGGTTTACTCTTCTGGAATAACATTAGCCAAATTTCCTTTTTTATTAGGGCTTTGAAAATGTGAAATTTTAAAGGTAAAAAAGACATAAAGACATACAAAAAGATTTTATCCAGGAAAGCCCGTCATAAAAATCGTCAGTATCTGGACTCTGAAGTATTGTTAAGCAAATTTATTACAAAAAGAGGTTTTTAAAATTAGAATTTTTGTCCGCAAGTATTTTGCGGATAAAAAATTTTTAAGATTTACAGACTAGAAAATTTTTTAAATGCAGAAGTTTTGCTAATAAATATGCTCGCTCATTTAGCCAAAAATCGACATTACTTAATGGTTTGTTCTTTTTTTCGACATCATTTACATTTTGCTGTTTAAGTACATTTGAGGCAAACACTTTGATTTAATAATTTTGTGTTTTGTTGAGAATAATTTTTTTATTGGGTGATTCTTAGGGGATTTTTGTAATAAATTTAATTGGGTTTAATTTTTGAAAATTTCTATGAAATTTCTTCAAATAAGATTTTTGAAAAATTTTTATTTTTTGGGTCATTATTATTTAAATTTTCCCTATTTTACTTCCTATACTTAGCGCCAAATCAAGCAAAAGCGTTTAATACATATTAACCTTATAAAGACGGGCCTTAAAAATTCAAATATTTTCTTTTTTTTAAAGATCAATTTCAGAAGTTTGGGAAATGATGTCATGAATTATCCAAACTTTGTATTTGTTTATATGATAAACATTTAGCGATTCTGATGCAAGCAATCCATCTATGGACAATGGCTTCTAATAAGAGCAATTGGAAAAAAGGTAGAATAATTTGAATAATATGCGGAATTCCTAGTGTAGTAGTAAAGGTTACTGATCCCTAGAATAAAAGGTAAAAAGTGCTTTTTTGATTTTTTGAAATATGTCAGAAGGTAATCGATTGCACTAAGTCCGAATATGAGCTTAGAATTTTTTTTATTCTATTAGTTATAAAATTTAATAAAATAGCAGAGGCATAGAATAAATTTTAGATAATTTTTCTGGATGTATTCTTTTGATGTGTTTATGGAAATGAGCGACTTGAAATTAATGAAGATAACATGGGAGTTAAATCAAATATAAAAGACTCTATAGATTACAAAGAAGATAAAATGGAACAAATTAATGGATATATACCTTTGAGAGAAAATCAGGTAATTATTACTCTTAATATAGAACACGTAAAATTGCTTGTAAATCCGTTCAGAAACAGTCAGAAATAATAAATGCCTCTTTACAAGAATGTTTAGAAATTTCGAATTTTAGAAAAAAAATTTCAGGGCATAGAAGTCTATGCCCTGAAAATTTCAGGGCATAGACTTTGTTGTAAAACATTATTGGCTTTTGAGTCCAAGTATTGGGAAATTGTTATACACCGACATTATTGATGTCGCAATTAAAAAATTGTGCATCGGAACTCCAGCAGTCTATATCAATCACCTAGAAGTACTAAGCATCAACAGGTCGAATAAAATAAATAGAAAAATGAAAATTTCAATAAATGGAGTGATTCCGGTTTTCTACACAGAAGTCTATACTAATTGTATTTAATTGATCATAAATGGTCGAAACGTAATAATTTTGATAATACTCGACTCAGAATAAAGAGACGGGTCAGAGTAACCATAATATCTTAATTTCGAATTCTTACCACGAATCTGACTTGGTCGGTTCCCTGTTTGGGTTTTTAAAGGTTTCAATCTATAAAAACATACGTTAGCCGCCATATTCATTTCGTGCGTGCAAGTGATAAAATTTGTTGTTCATCGCAGACATCAGTAACGTCCACAAAGTAAGCATTTGCTGGCCTTGGATAATACATAAATTAAAAGTTGTTTAACTAAAAATTCATAATCAATAAATAATTTTTTTTAGTTTTAAGGATGTAAAAATATTCTATTTATCGAGTTAAAAAATTAAATAACAAAAAGAATAAATGGAAAAATTTATTATTTTAGAGAAATAAACTTTAAATAAAAAATAATAAATTTTAAAGCTTCATCAAGGTAAAGCTTCATAATGGTAAAGCTTTTTGTTATAAATTAGTCTTTATTGTTATAAATTAGTCATTTTTAAAAAAATAGATTAAAATGAAAAATAGACAAGTACAAAATAATTATTGGAGAATAAATACAAAGTATAAATAAAAACAAAAAAAGAATCTTCACATTTTTGAAAAATAAAGATTAAAATGAAAAAAGGCAGCTACCTGCTTTATTTATATGCGGTAAAATTGATGCCCTATGCTCTCTCTTTTCTTTTATTGTAAAAGGAAACATTGTTTCCATACACAAAAAAGAAAAGTAAGAGCGAAGAAGTAGTGAAAACAAACGCGGGTAATTAAAAAAGCTGTGAAAGACTCGTGTTTTTTGAGTTTTGAGTAAAAATCTTTTCGGAGAATTGGGGTCCCTGCGAAATTTATTTATTTACTATTTTTGTTTTTTTGTCTTTGTGCCAATTAATTAAAAATGTTTTTCTTACTTTTGTGAATAGAAATTATTTAATTACATGTTATTTAAACAAAAAGTTATTTAACAAAAATAACAGTTTTTTAACCTTTATAACAAAAAAGGTTTGCCGCATTTATGTACACATTGTATGGCATTTTAATTAAAAATATAAAGATGTTTGTTTGGGTGAATAAATAATAATGGAAGAAATCTCTGTGACATTAAAAGATAGAATTGATATTCCAAAACAAGATAATGGGGACGATTGCGGAATCTACGACCTGGTAAATGGGTTGTATCTGACATTATTGATGTCGTCATCAATAAATTGTTGTCACAATCAAAATATGAAATGTTATATATTAATGATTTTGAGATAAGGAGCTTCGAAAGGACAAAAAGACAGCAAAAGTCACTTAGCCAAACGAACAACTTATTGTCAACAATATTTTTAAATGAAAATCACTATACTTCAATGGCAAGAAACATTTACAAAAATTTATTATGACATAGTATTCATGTAACAAATATTCCAAAAATAAAACGCATGGAATCATTTTTGTAAGATAACAATCTTTAATAAAATAACAATCTTTAACAAAATCTTTAACAAAGATAACAATCTTTAAAAAGTTGTTAATGTTAATTTCATATATCCTCAGTGAAGATTTCAAATCAACTAAAAATTTTTTGTCCATTTCAAAATTTTTCAGTCTTGTCACAACCCTACATTAATTCTTAAAATGTCATATATAGAATAGTAGATGCTGAGTCGAAATGTATTACTTTTTTTCGGTAATGCCTGTAATTCAGTGAAATTTTCATACTATTTCGGCCAAAATCTAAATCTGTCATAAATATTTAATTAATAATAACTAATGAAATAGTAATGGTAAATATCGTTTTTATAAATTTAGTGAAATGATTAACCAAATGGCTATTAATTCCAATTCTTATATCGGAAGAAGAGATGAGTGGAATTTAATAGATATAATGGATATTCCGAAACAAGGCAATGGCGACGATTGCGGAATTTATACAATATTGTTCGCCAAGTAGTTAATCAAGGAGGATGAAATAAATTTTACTAAAAAAGAAATATTCTCATTCCATTCCCAGCAAGTTATAGAGGATTTTAATCACCTTAAATGTTTTAATAGCTATTTAATTTAATGGATTAAATAAATTTTTTAATATTATTTGGTGTTTAAATAATATTTGTTATCTGTAGGAGCAACCCTTTTTCTCAGTCCTTCATATACGCTCTTTCATTACATTATCTAGTGAGTCACATTCCTGTAGTCACATTCAATCAGTCAATCTCCTTCAATAATTTAACTTTTTTATTTGTAACCGTCTTAAATGTTAAAAAATGAACATCGATTTATTCAGTCATTTACTAAAAATAAGAGCAAAATGTGTGAGACAGGCAATCAAAAACAAAAAAATAAGTCTAAATTGAAGGAAGAGTGAGTGAACGAATGTGACTACAGAGAAATTTTTTAAATTACGCAAAGAAAAATGACTGAGCATTCCATGTAAAAAGTAAAAAGCGGACGGGTGGTGAAACGGCATAAGCACCGGGAAAGAGGAAGTAGGATATATAGAGGAAGTAGTATATTCCGTACAATATGAGTCGCATAAAAGTCCGCAAGTTGTTCATGGCTGAATGTTGTGAAGGCCATTCGAGGAAGGAAGTAAGTTAGACCATCTATTGCAGATTTGCCTAGTTTACATTTACACAGACAGCTTTTGCCCTTTTATTATTCTTTGTACTTTGCATTTTGGTTATTTTATACTGCTCGAATACTATTTGAGAAGTTTTTTAAAAATAATTTTTTAATTATTTATTTTTCTTTTTCAAAGGAAGTATTCAGTTATAAGTAATTTACTTGATTTTTGTGCTATTTCCTTGCTTGACTTCTTTTATTTATTCATTGCATTTGGATTTTCTTTGAGTTTCGACAAATTTCAACTAGTTTAGTGTATTCGTTTTGTTCGAATCCGGTTTATTTTTATTAATTTCTATAGAATTGACTAAAAGAAATCAAGCTAAGCGAGGGGTTTTGATTCACTTTTTAGCGCCTGCCGATGCCTGTAGGTTCACTTTCAAGAGTTGTAGGTTCACTTTCAAGAGGTTCACTTTCAAGAGACTACTTGGGCGTGTCCCACAATTTATATATCAATAAATAAAAGAATTTAAAAATTTTTTTCAGTTGCATAGATACTATGTAAATTTAAAAAATATATAATCCCTTTCAAAAAATAGTATATACATTCTCAAAAAAATCTTATGTACATCCTTTAGTCAAACTCTTCAAGCAAAATATCTCAATAATTCTTAGGCTTCTCCAACGCATAACTTCCACGTTTAAAACCAAGAGTATCAGAAACTAGAATTAAACTTGCAATTTTATTTTATTAGTTTCCCAATAAACCACCTGGATTATGCTCAGCTGCAGCTAACTTACGTCCAGTTAATATAGGTTTCTCTTGATTCTTGCCATTTTCTGCACCTACCTTCTCTTCAACGTCTCCATTAAAATCACTTCCTTTTCCCTGTTTTACTTTATTGGCACTAGGAATGTTCATAGTGCGTTGTTTAAATCCTCCTTTTCGACCTTAAACTCGTGAAAATTTATAAATTGTTTATGTATTTTAATAATTCAGGCTTTTTAAAGTTTTTCCTTCCAACTCTAAGTTAGCTACATACATACGTATAACCGGGACCTTTGTGTCAACGAATGAAGGAAAGTGGCATTAAAATCAGTTGTGAAAAGCATATTAAAGATATTTACATAATATAACATTTATGGGTACTATAGATACACACATTTGAAGTTACCGCTTAGGACCTGACCTTTTGGGTATTCAAATTACAAAACTCAAATATGCGGTTCGACATTTAAATAATTATTTATTATTAAATAATTAAGTGATTATCAATAATTTCTTATATATTTTACCCACCTAATAATTCTCCATGTTTAAAGTCACTAATTGCCAGTTTTTTTAAACTTTCTTCAGGTCCATTTGCCTTTCCAACTTGATTGCCAATGGGGTCACTTTTAGCGCGTTGATTTAAGCTTCCTTTATCTTAAATTGTGAAATATTAGACTTACTAGTTAGATTTTTTATATAACCTTTGTTATATTGATCAACTAGCGATGGATGCTTATGGTCTTCTAGTGTTCCAAGGAACTTTTCAAGTCTCTTAGCCTTTTCATATTCCTTGGCGTTGGGATTGCTCATAGCACGTTGGCGATTCTTTGCGAATATATCTCCATGTTTGAAGTCACTAAGTGCCAAATCTTTAATATGTTTTTCTAACTTCTGTTCAGGTCCATTAGAATCAGAATCTTTTGCCTTTCCAACTTTATTTCGAGCGGGGTCACTTTGGGAGCGCTTATTAAAGTTTCCTTTTTCTTAAATTGCGAAAATTGAGACGTATTAGAGAGAATAAACCTTTTTTGAATTTATCAACTAGCGATGGATGCTTATGGTCTTCTAGTGTTCCAAGGAGCTTTTCAAGTCTCTTAGCCTTTTCATCTTCGTTGACAGTGGGATTACTCATAGCACGTTGGTGATTCTTTCCGTATAAATCTCCATGTTTAAAGTCAATTATTCCCAGTTTTTTAACGCGCTCTTCTAGTTTATGTTGATATTCGTTAACTGGTTCAACTTTTGTAACTGTCGGATTTTTTATAGTTGGCTGATTGTGTTCAACTGGCTGTTCCCTTGGCCCAGCGATATGAACATGCTCTAGCTCTTGTTGATTTTTATGTTCGTTCTCATGTTTGGCTGAATAAAAATGTGATTATATTATTTTAGAATTCAGGGAAAATTAAGTCATGATTGATCATTCGAATCTTATAAGACGTTACCACGATATCGAATCGCGCCGACATTGTAATCTGATTTTTAGAGGTAATATTTAGAGGTATTAGAGGCTGATATTTAGAGGTAATAGACGTGCAAAGAAGATACGAATCTAGATTTGAACCTATTTTACAATCTGACTTGTTTGAAAGATATTAGTCATGAGTTTTTTCTAATACTCGGTATTGGACTAACATTGAATCCCTCCACACTAGCAATAATTTAAAAATTGACATTCCGCTTTCTACACTGAATTAAACAACTACCTTCTTCAACTATCGCATAATCCTCCGTTCCATCTGATTCCGAACCAAATATTATTTCTCCGCTGTCAACCTCAATAGTTTCAGCTTTTGAGTTCTCATCAATTCCTTTGACAATCTTGAAATAATAATGATTTAAAAAATGTATAGAATAGACTTCGCTTTACAATACTCCTCCCTTCTCAACTCTGGGCACGCGGGTTCTGTTTATGTTGTTCCAATATAATCCGCCCACTTTTAATTAGATGGAGTACCTTTAAGGAAGCCCTTCTAAATCATGATTGTTCCTGCACCAATTAAAAAAGCGTATAACGAAGGAGGAATGATGCGGAACAAATTAGGATGAGACAGACGAAGCGCGGAACCGAAGAGGTTGAAAAAGTAAAAAAAAGGAAAAGAGGAATTTCGCCTATCTATCATTCAAACTATCCCATATAGTACATATATGCTTAAATGTAAAATCTATTTACTAAAATAAAAATTCAATTTTGTTTTTTACCTGTTTACAAATTTCTTCTCCATCTACTTCCGGTTTTACATTCTTGTCAAAATCACACTTGTCCGGATCTATTTTTGCAACTTCAGTTAACTTTACTTTATCTCCTCTCCCATTGTCATTCTTTGCAGTATAGAGGATATGATCGTAATTAGGATCCAAATTTTTGAATTTTATTGAACATTGTTTTGTTTCTCTGTTGCAGATTACTTTGTCATTAAGCTCAATAAATTTATAGGGTTGTGGCGAATGTTTGTATTCAACTTGTTGGATTTGTGGTTTTGGCACTGGAATAATTATTAGTTCTAGTTTAATGAAACTTATTTTTGGGAGATTTGGAATTTAAAGTGATAAAATCAGTGTATAACTTCATCTCATTTACCGTATACAGTAAGAGAGCGGAAGTTTTAGATCCTCTAGCAACGTCCATTTTCCCTCCCACATGCCACAATTTCTCCTGCCTCAGCTTAATTTAATTCTGAGGATGTATCATTGCTATGTTTCTGACATATCTGGGCCCGTAGAATAAATTCAGGGTTGGGTGAATTTAGCTACGGGTTAAAATCGGTAGAATAAATTCAACCCCGAGTTAAGGGTTATTTAACTAGTTGAGTTACTGCGGTGCAAAAGTTTATGCACACTTGATAAAAAACTTGGAAGTCTTCAAGTTTTAAGTCTATTTGTACTCAATGTCAGTGAAAATGTTCATAAAAAATAGTTTTGCTTTTTTTTCGGCATTTATTCTTCTAGAAATCCAATTTTCGTGTAATGGACTTCTAACTCTGTTTCAAAAATTTTTGTTAATGTTAAAAAATTTTTTTAGAAATTATGCATATTCGCATGTTACCCTGCCCCCTAGTAGGGTTGCAATTTGCCCCTTACCTGCGGGTTATTCAACCCGGGTAATTAATTTATTCTACCGGTAAGGTTACGCGGGTCAGATAACCGGGTTATCTGACCCGGTCATTTAACTCGAAGCTAGGGGTTTGAATTTATTCTGCGGGTTACGGGTTATTTAACCCCGAGGTAAGGGCTAAATACCCTTTACCCCGAATTTATTATACGGGCCTTGAGGGTTAATATGCCCCTTCTCCTACGAATCCTTTCTTGTTATTAAGCAAAATTCTGACACAAGTAGTGCCCATATAAAGAGTTTTCACTGTATTTTTCTACTATCCTGTAGGGTCTAAGGGTGTCCGATGTTTTTAAAATGTCAGCGTGCACAAGAATAACGTTTATCAGAAGTTGAAATGTGAATGTGTGAGGACTAACTGGGGGCTACCCGGGAGGGACTATCAGTCTCTAATCAGTGACTAGACTGGCTAGTATGATCCAACTAGACTGACGCTTTCACTGGCTTTTATAACAACGCGACAACACTACACAACATATACAATGATTATATAATTAATTGTTTTATCAGTGGTTATATTAAGATTTGAAAATTGCCTACCGGCTAATAGATATAACGAAGAAACAGACAGAAGAAATGCAAAAATTACAGCCACAACTTTTTTCTTAATCGACCTGAAATTAAAATTTAAAAAAAACTATTTTTATAAGCTATTTTACATTGGAGCATGTCGACGATGTACTATTCGCTCTGCTTGCACTTAATTATAAATTTTTATTAAAAAGTAGAGCCCCTCATCGAGGTCCAGTAGTATTTAAAAAAGTTACTTTCAATGTCCGACACAGCTTGAGGAGGCGAAGATGGGGTATCGTTCAATGGTATATCAGTGAATTGCTCAGCAGCTAAGATGCTTTGTATTCTGTGAGTCAGTGTCGAATTGATGTGTCCTCCATGGACATTTAGAACTGTAAGTAAATATAAAGAATGAATACTAAGTTTCCCCAGGTGAATGGCTGGCCTCTAAATTTTCCTCCCGTCTTAGAGAGCGCTATAATTGAGGGGATGTAATTAAGCGCTATAATTGAGGGGATGTAATTAAACGTCCGGCCGATCTACATTAAATCCCCCTCATTGGGCACTATAAGCTTCGGCGCTATAATAGGGATTATTCGTTTATTAAGAGAGGATCTCTCTATTTGAGATACCTTATAATAATTAAAACATTTTCAACTCCTTTGTTATCTGATAACGGGGCCGGCCTACCCCGTATTTTTAAATTTGAAATTACCCGTAAAGGCCAAAACTCCAATTAACAACACAAAAAGCTTCATTCAGCGTTACTTCAATTCTTAATGTTAGGCAAGGGGATGTTGGTAAAGAAATATGGAATGGGTAATGAAGCTGGGTAATGTATAGGAATGGGGCGAGCGATTTGCCTTTTACATTTAAATTGTAGTTTGTATTTTAAAAATTTTTAAGCTCTTACACAGCAATGACACTCAATGCCGGCCCTTTCTCATACGCTCGCGACTACTCGGATAAGAAATATGCCCTTGTATTGCCTCTCATGCCGCTACTTGTTTCCCTTAACCTCGTTAAAATGCACTCTTAACTTTTTAACTTGCCGGAAATCTCAAGTTTATCAATGCTTCCGGAATTATTTATTGCACTTGTGAGGGAATGTTTTGAATTTCAAAAATAAAATAGAGAGTTACGGATTGTGTTTGCATAAAGTTTTTTAAAATGGCGGACAGCCTCGACTTACATGCTTTGCCTTTTGAAAGAAAAGGCTCTTTTTCACCTTCCCCTCATCATTCATCTTCTTTCTCTCTTGAGAAGAAAGAGCAATTCATCGCCTCTCTCTCCCTCCCTTCCTCCCTTCATTCATTTATCTTCTTTCTCTCTTGAGAAAGAAAGAGCAATTCATCGACTCTCACCTCCCTTTCATCGCCTCTCCCTCCCTCCCTCCCTTCATCATTTTCTTTCTCTATTGAAAGAAAGAACAATTCATGGCCTCTAACCTCATTATTTCATCGACTCTCTCACTTACATGCTTTGCCTTATGAAAGAGATTTCACTTCTTCACCTCTCCTTTCATTCATTCATTTTCTTTCTCTATTGAGAAAGAAAGAGCAATTCATCGACTCTCACCTAATTCATTCCCTTTTTTTCTCTCACACTACCTATAGCCTTCCCTCAAACACTCACTTATCTTTCCCCTATAATTAAGCTACATACCCAGTCATTTTCTCTTTTACACTCCACTGTCTTTAAATGCCTCTTCCCGTCAATCGCTCACTTACCCTTCACCTTTAATGAATCTCAGTCTAGAGAGGGCCCTTCAATGCCTTTGCTCGTGATTTTACTCGTGAATTCTCTCGTGAATTGCCTCGTGAATCTAACTCGTGAATAATTGATTGGCAATTAAACATCAAAGCTCCAACAATTTAAATAATTTTATTAATTTTAAATTTTTTTCTCGAGAATAATATTACAAGATGTTGAGGTAAAAAACCCAATACTTGAGGGAAGAGTAAAGATTTAAGTTGAGAAAAGTTTTAAAACCAGTTATGCTGAAATTCAAAAATTTTGGCGGTTACAGTTCTTCCTTTTTGCGCCTCAGGCGAAAGTTTTGAGAATCTTGGAAGGTTAGAAGCTTTCCATTTTTGCTCTCATGCCTCCCTCTTTTGCTCACTAATTCTCATTCACAATGAATTATCACTCGAACACTGTCAATTCGGAATATTCCTAATATCTTCCTAATCTCTTTCAAAATAAAAATTTGATTGAGAAAATGTAAATATTTCTAACGGAAATAGAATATGTTTCAAACGTTTTTTTATTGCCAGAATTAAAAATTGAGACCAAATCTTTAAAGAAAGAGAAAAAAGTTTCAGTTAAGGAAACCCGGTGAAGCAAATAAACAGCGTTTACTTAATATATAATTTATTAACTTTAAAGTTATTTTAACTTTGTAAAACAATAGATTTTAAGTTGCAGTGTATGATCCTGTGGAGTTATTTTTGGATGTCTCTTTTAAGCAGACAATTTTTCAAAAGTTTAAAATGAATGGGATCGCAAAACTTGTTGGCAGGAGAAGTAATAAATCAACTAGACCTCGACCTAATGACAGTCGTGAGTTGAGATAATGGATATATTACTGACGGAAGCTACAGTTAGACCACAGTATCGAATCTGCACCCAATTATTTTCATCGCTCATGTTTATCTTCCTCTTCTTTACTTGATTATTTAACAGAAGAATTTGCGCGAAAATTGTAAAAGATGAGAAATCGGCCCACAAGGATTAAAATATAAGAAGCAGGAATTCGGTTTTAAATTTCATAAGAATAGAAAATTTGTAATACATACATAAACATAATATGTAGTGCGACAGAAAATTAAAAAATAAATTTTTTAATATGCTAATAAATTAATACAATGTTAAACTAAAGGTTTTTAAATTCAAAATTTTTAAATTAATTTATCAAATAATTCAACAAATCCACATATTTTTTACTCGTTTCAAACGTAAATTAATTGTTCACTTCATCATGTTCATTGTCCTTAATTTGAGATAAATTTTTCACTCAATTTAATCTCGAGTCCTCAACACCCCCTTACTCTTTGTATTGTAACTTAGGCAAAACTCGGCCTCGTGGATTTACTTTTGAGGGTAAAACTCCACAATAACCCGTACTGCCAATTAATCATTGGCTCAGTTCGGTTCCGAGGATATCTCTTATCGAGATTTGACTTGTTTATACGATCCCTCCTGAAAAAATCATCGGATTGGATGCAGAGAGTTAACCATCCCACCAACTACTGATTTTCTATTTTTCCTATATCAACTAAATAATATTTAATGTATAACCTCTTGATCCTGTTCAGTAGACTTTTTGTTAGTTTCGAGTGATTTCTCAATACCAACACCTTGAAACTTTGAGCGTCCATCTCCTATTAAATTTAAAATTTTATGTTCTTAGTTAAAACCTCGTTATATTATTAGATTATTTGTTAGTATATGAAAAAATATCGAAAATATGGATTGATAACTCATTATCGGTCTTATCAATTAGGCTTCCCCGAACAATAAATTGAAGGTTATAAAGCTAAGGAAAATTTTCCTCGTTGTGTGTGCGATATTTAAAACTCAACCCTAGATAGGAGGATTCATCTAGTAGCATTTATATCTTAGGTGGAGGTTAAATGGCAAAACTTGGTATAAAACATTTGGCAAACCCTGCATGGGTGTAAGCGATTGGCTAGCAGTCACTTCAGTCGATCGCAGGCTCGATTCCTGCCTGGTGGCTCTTTCTAAACTTTTAATACGTCAAATATTCTTAGTAAAACTTTAACTCAAACCATGTCTAAAATCGTTCCAATTTAACATCGTTTCTGAACGAGGCACTTTGAAATTTTGGTAGGCATCGCCGTAAGGGTAGCTAATTAATCCTTCTTTCAGCTTTCGATTGTTTTCATGCCACGGATTGCTTTCCTCCGTTGATTTTGAATGTTGCAGTTTCGCTGTTGGCATAATATGAGAATGGACATTTAAGGGTTTTTGACTCATGAGGCGGCGATGTTCGTGAGGCAAAGTGTCAACATCATTTTCTGATTTTGTGCGTCGCAAGTTAGATGATTGGGTGTTGTGAGAATAGCTTTTTAAACGTTCCTCACTCATTTGACGGCGTTTCTTCTCCAGTTCATAAAATGAGGGGTGCTGGAAAAAGCGCTGATTTTGATTTTTAATTCTCGAAGTCTCAATATCCTTGCCTTGAGCAAAAAGTTCATCTTCAGGATCAAGTAATGAGCGACGAATTATATTCTCAGTTTCATCTTTAAATTTATAAATTTAATGTTAAGGTTTTGGAATCCTAAAGGACTGAGTAATTGGCATTATGAGCCTTCGGCTCCAGCGTGCTTCGCGAAAACATTGGATTTTTCGGATACCTATAAGTGACCCCCTCTCTTTTATAAATTATAAACTTACTCTAACCTAATTTAAGAATCCAGGTCATATCTCAGACTAATAGGTAAGGCTCGCTTGTACCAATGTAAAGCAAATAGCTATTCAATTCCTAAGGCTGTGCATTAGGCGGTGTAATGGCTAACACATCAGCCCGGTCTACTGAAGATTCTGGTTCGCTCCCAGCCGCCGATTAACCTTAGCTAAAGGAGAGAAATAGCTATAGCCCAACTGCTTTACTCTAATAATCAAACTGGTTCCAAGATATATTGAACCATTGAATCCCCATTGAACCATCTCAAATTAAATATTAACATACACTTTTTCACTTTTTTAGCCTCCTCAGAATTCAATTTAATCTTATTTTCTGGATGATCCAAGTCGATCAGTCCCACATTCTTTTCACATCTTGCTCTGACTTCTCCAGTATGCCACTTTTCAATAACAACATTAGTACCCACTTTGCACTCGGTCGGGTCAACTTTTGTAACCAAGCTTAAATGGTCGTCGTCATTTGGAGTCTTGGCATAAATTTCGATATGCCCTCCGTAATCGGTATCATCCATTTCAATTTTGCATAGCTTTTTAGTTGGATCCTTGTCTGATTTTTCACATTTTGTTAACGAGTTTAAGGAAATAATTGTGCGCTCAGGTGGATGCTGATCCTTATTCATAGCCTTCATAGCCGCTGAAAAATTAATTTTTCAATTATAGGCAGCAAAATTTTGATCATATCTAGGGTATTATTAACTATTTTTGGTTGAGACCCAAGTTCGATCCAAGGCTATTTGAATAATTAACTGGGTGGTTTTTGATAATCAATGGATTATATCCTAGGAAACTGGAGTATGAGGATTCAGTCAATATAAATAAGGGGTCGGCCTTCTGAAAACAGATAAAATTGAAGGAGATGGGAGGAAGGAATAAGGACATTTTGTGGTGTAATAATTACATTTGAATCTCTGTATGATAACTGCCAATGTATGTTAGGGTTAAAATCATGGTAGAACACATCCCACATCCATCAGCTTAAAATAAGGTGTGTTGGAAAGAAAATAATAAAGGATCGGCTTCTTTGTAAGAACCAAGCAATTAATAACCTACATGACTATAAATCTCTATAAAACTAACGATAAACCAAAAAGAAATTGAATGGGTTAACAACAGCAAGCATTAAGATTACTGTAAGAGCCATAATTTTCTTTGGCGTAACCTTTGGCGAAGTGTTAGGCTTCGACAGTTTCTTCCTTAAAATTAAAATTCTGTTTAATCCTATTTTCTAAAAATAATAGCTTACTTTCTACGTGTATTGCCATGATCCGAGTCTTTAGTATCTTTTGCATTTTCCACTTGCTTTCCTTTATTTTTGACTTCTGGCGCGGTATAGAACTCATTCCTGTTAAAAATATTTTTATGAAGCTTGCTGATACGTCACTCTCTGGACAGAACTATCAGAGTGTAGTCTGGCTATATTTATGTGTAAACCATTGGGTATGCAAAAGTTTGTAGACATAAGTTAGATGACACACATGTAGGGGTACTGTTTATGCAGCCCCTTATACAGTTACCAGCAACGAAATTAATATAATATATGAGCTCTATAAATTGCTCTACCACGATTAATTTTAGGGTTCGATCATGTTTCCTGATCAGCAAATTCCTCGAGTAACGGCAAAAGTCTGCCCAGAGCCCCTTACACAGAGAATTCACTCCTCCAGGAACGGGGATCAAACTAGTAATTAATTGAGGGAGGGCAATTGATAGAAGGCATTTGATCTAATTAGATGGGATAATTAATAATTATCCTTCTAGTCAAAAATTGAAACAATAATTACCCTGGACACTTTTTCAAATAAATACGATACACAAATCGAGAATAGTCAGAGTGATTTAATCTAAAAATTTACTTTCTACGCGTTGTTGAAGGAGGTTCTTCATAGTTACGTTCAATGTTACTTCCATTTTCCTCAGTATTATCGTAATCACCGTCATTCTTTTTTTCTGTTGATTGTTGAAGGAGTGGAGAGTTTTCTTCTTTCAAACGATCCGCATTTTCTGTTTCAGCATCAGATAGTGAGTCGTAGTCGAAATTTCTAATATAATTAGAAGGGAAAATGGATGAAAGTTTCCTGTGGAATCTTAATAGACAGAGAGTAAAGCAGCTGGGCTATAGCTATTTCTCTCCTTTAGCTAGTGCAAAAGGTTAATCGGCGGCTGGGAGCGAACCAGCATCTTCAGTAGACCGGACTGATGTGTTAGCCATTACACCACGCCGCCTACTGCACAGCCTTAGGAATTAAATAGCTATATGCTTTACAAGAGCATCTGAGAGGGGGCGAGTGTGCCGGGGTCTTAGATGCACCTCGAAAACGCGCCTTCATGATGTCGGTGTGCAACCTTAGATTAAAGTATATCGATTTTGACAGGAGTTCATAGGATTCATGCCTAAACTTTTAACTCTCTCTTACCCTATCAATGTTTTCCTATGATAGAGTTTTTAATCCAATAATATTATACCGATCACTGAAGCGTGGCTTGTGATGCGTCAGATGATATCCTCCATTTTCAACTATGGAGTTATTTGAAGTTGCTGCTCCAGGATGTCTCACGACAGGTTCCAAGCTTCCATAAGTCACAGCAGATGCCAAAACTATTGAAATTTAATCTTGTTTCTGATTAAATACGTTCGAATCTCAATTTTACATACACCAAATGATAGCTATAACTGTAGATTGATCAATGGATAGTGGAAGATGTCTTATTGTTGGTTAGGTGCTTATTATTTAAGGTTAAGTTTTTAGCCTTCCCTCTGAATGACCTGATCCAACCCCTAACTTGAGCTACGGACTTTTTTTCTCAAACCCATAATGTAACCCAGACCAGACCTGTTCAAGGATACTGATCTTGGTATCCGTATCCGCATATTTACGGCGGATACAGGCGGATATCCGCAGGCATTTTGATATTATCTGTATCCATATCCGTATTCATGGGCAGGTCTGACCCAGACGGTGCTGTAGCATGCCACGGATAGAACCACATAAGTCATATCATTAAATTACCCCAACATAATGGAAACTCTCGTTTTTTAAAGGGTGTATGTTAAATTGAGATCCGACTGTATAGATTTAATTTCAGTCAAATAATTTATTAACCAAGGAAAATTTACCGAGCAACGCATTGAATGCGGCTAGAGCTAGCAGTAAAAACCGCATCTAAACAAACAATCAGAAAATTATTTTTTTATTTCTATACAAATTACGACAAGGAAAAATGGGTAAATGAATATGTTTAAGAAAAACATATCCTTTTAAAAAGACAAGCCCGCTATAAGGGCATATGCGCAAATAAAAAGGTAAACAACTCTAGCTAACCAGTCGCTTGCTTTACGTCTAAAAATTACTTTGAAATACAGCGGCTTCCGGCAAAGGTTTGAGAAATCGTTGTCGCAATCGAGACCTTTCCTTTTATTTTTTTAAATGCCGCACTCGCACTTTTCACAAGATTACTTTCAAAATTAAGCAGGAAATGAAAGGGCACATTTATATTTTTTTGAGTTTTCCGCAATGCACTTTGATTTTAAAAATGTTTTTAGGGACCTGTTTTTGTGTTTTCTTTTAAAAAATTATTTTTAAACTTCCCTGACATTAGCCCTCTCGAAGCTCTGGCAAAATTTCCCTCAAATAGAAACTTTTCAAATTTTTCTTGCTCTATACGGTAATAGTTTGTTTGAGGTAATAGTTTGGCCTGAATCACTTTCATATTCCACTTTATCGGCTTAATTTCTCCATTAACTTTAATATACCGTATTTATTTTAATTGAATGACCGCCCTTCTATTTTCAATTATTCAAAAAAGGATTTATTCACTTGGAGACCATTAAACGGAAAGGGCATTTAATTAATTACGGTAATTAAATTATTATTTTTAATAATTTAATTGATTAATTTTAATTGATAAATTTTTTTTAAGACGCGTGAGAGTCATGCCTCGCGACTGTCATATGCATTGACTTATTCTCGAGGCACTTGAAAATCAATTTTTGCCATGCGCTGCCTTAATGCGACGGCTGGGGTCACTCTGGCGCTGACTAATGACAAGACTAAGTGGGGGTCGGCAGCTTGATACGGGCAAATGGGCGCCCTGTATTCCCGCGCCTTAACAAACAACTGAGTCTTGACAGCGCCATTGCCGATGCATTGACAGACTCGTTTATTGCCTACCCAATTTTTTTTTTCATTAAGGCATTGGAATCGCGTTTATAAAATGTCTATTAAATTTTAAATGCCCCTCAACCCTACTATATTTTGGCATTTACTCCTCACTTCTTTAATTTTCTTTAGAATTTAAAATATTGTAAAGCGGATAATAATGTAGAGGGCAACTTTCAATACTAGAAAGTCATTTTAGAATATGTATTCGGACCGATATTCCGTCAGAAAGTTTTATCTTCTGTTAAGGATATACGGATACTAAACTCATGTCTTAACTTTTACGTTAGGTCCGAGCAGGGTGACCCTTTTACCTCATTCAGGGGATTTGCCTCATTTTTGACGTTTTCGCCCCTATTTTCCCCCTTTTCCTCATGTCACCTTTTTGAGTGGCCATGCCCCTTCTGATGATTTGTAAAGATTTACGATTTCCCGAAGATTTTTTCTGATTTCTACCACTTCAAGTCCCCAATAAATGCTTGAACAAAATTTTTAGAACCTCATACATTTAAAAAATTATATTTTTTAGAGTTTGCCGCAATCAAATGTGGCAATTAAAAACTTTATTAATTTTCAAGTGCCTGCTCTTCCTATGTGAAACGATTCAAATTGACTTCGTTGATTACGCTCTTAAATTAGAGGAGAAACTCAATCATGTTAAAAAAGAAATCCAAAACTACGAGGCAGGTTTTATTACTAGGGTCTGCACAATTTAGGTTTGGTAGAATCAGTTCGAATGTACCTGTAATAGTACTCCCCCTGAATTAGTACTCCCCCTCAAATAATATTCCCCTTTGGAGGAGGGTTCAAAAATAGTACTCCCGGGAGTACTATTTCAAGAAATACGGTATATTGTGAAGCATATAGATATTTAATTAATAAGGCTATATAGGAGGTATTGTGGTCCTATTCCTGTTCCAATGAGGTTAAACAGCATGCTCCTGTTCAAAAACATCCTGTTCAACTGAGGATGATGGTTTCCTCTCAGCGCCCCTTTTGCATTAGCTGAAGTAGATTAACAAACTAATTAGAAGCTGATTTGACAAGCTGATTAGTTCAGCTAATCATTTTAAATATTATCATCTATACTACGAAAACTCTCAGGTATAATGTTTGGCTATGGTTGCTTTATAAGTCCAGTGAAGCTTTCTGGCTCCCAAAAATTTTCTATAAGTCTTATTCCTTTAACGTTCAACCATTTTATAGCAATTAATGAAGTCTATTCTCGAAAAGGATGCTACGGTAGCTGATAATGTTAAGGGATTGCTGCTAAATGCTAGCGATGACTTCAATTTTGTAGTCAAAGGAGAACAACTAAATGAACAAACGAATACTGATAATGTTATTAAACTTGACATTATCAGTAAATTTATTGGAAACCTCAAAAACAGCAAAAACGCTGAAGATTTGATTGAGATACAGGATGGCAACCATTTGCCGAAGAAAATTTCTTTGCCAGAAGTACTCACAGAGCTTGACAAGCTAATGTTAGTATTTATTTACAACCTAAACTACTAGGATTTAATTGTAAATATTTGGCTCTGGTATTTCCAGGGAGGCTGCGCGCCTCAAAATTTTAGCTCCCCATAAACACAATAGACCAAGGGACATGCTTCTTGTTCTCCTTAGTAAGGAAATGAAATTAAAATACACAGTTGGGCCTCTATCCTATATAAACTCAATAATGGAATCTTTATCCCCGAGAGAATCTTTTCCAATATTTTTTCAGCTAGGGATCCTTCTCCTAGATTTATGCAGACATGTAATTGCACCAATTAATTGATATTACAACTCATAAATTTTCGAAAACTAACCTCTTCCGAATTTTAGTTTTACTTTATTATTTATCTACTACATGATATAATGCTTGATAAAAAGTCTAGTTAGAATAAGTTAAGTATTACAAAAGATATGATAGTAAAATTGAGTGAACTATTGTTAAACAAGTTGCTCCTTAAACAAATTGCTCCTTAACCTTGCTACTTGATCTTTGCTACTTTTGCGTGCCAACTTTAGTAAACCTTGGGCATAAGTTAATGCCTGGAAAGAAACTTAATGTTTTAAAATTTTATTCAAATTTATTTAGGATAAAGGAAACCGAAAAACAAGGGTTGCAAGAACGTATGGCAAAACTTTACGAATTAACACGCTACAGAAAACAAATTAATTCAATTGTAAATAAGACGAAGAAGGAATTTTACTTTGTCCAGGATGCTAACATATTTGAAGCTATAGGATTTAGAATCATGAGCTGCCTTCATAAACTTAATTCAGCTTTTGGCGATTTTATGAAAAATGTCATAAGGTATTCCTAATATTTAAATTAAAAGTAGAGCCTTGCCTGAGGGCTTTACAGCCCGGCTTGAGAACTCCGAGTTACGTATGCGGCCGGGATCGAGTTAAAAATATAATTTTAAAGTTTCGATCGCTGGTTTGTCAAAAAACTGAAAGAAATCCGACGGAAAGGAAGAAAGCCCACCCCTGGTCGTAAACTATACCTAACTGATCTTAATATTCGCCAACCAAAGCTGTAAAATATAATTATAATTATTGTAGAGATAAAAAGGAAAAAATTAAAAAAATAATTGAGAATGGAAAGAAAAAAATTTTAGCAGAAGGTATGAAGGAAAAGTATAATGTTTTGAATATTCCTAAAAGTAAATACCTCAAATTTGTCAAAGTTGACTTATCTGATAAATACAAAGAGAAAGAAAATTTGATAAATGAGATAAAAAATCTAAAACATAATAAAACTCTTAAAGGAAAAGAATTAAAGAAATTAAAAAAGGAGAAGAATAATTCGTTAAAAAATTTGGAATTATATATTGAGTTTTGGCATAAGATTAATATTCTAGTCGATGAAATATACGACAATATTAACAAGCTGTATTTTGTGTGTTTATGATTAAAATATAAATTTTTAAGGATTAGTATACTAGGCTTGAACCACACACCGAAAGTCTCAAACTCGGAAAACCCGACCCCGGAACTTGTAATCCGGTCAACCTTAACCCCGGGTGACATCCATATTCGATGTCAACCGTATGTACAAGGCGCCAGTTTTAATACGAGTCAAAGGGGCATTCTATTAGAAATGGTCATACCACTATGACCAAACTCGCTTAGGTTTGATTTCTCCAAAAAATTCACTGGAGGGGGATAGTCTACATAACTCACCAAAGGGTCGTTTTGTTTTGTTGCTTAAAAACAGAAAAACTTAAATTTTCAGGAGGGTGATCCAGCGCAGATAAACTATAACAAACTATTTATAATTGAACCTTATACCGAATATCGCCTTTACAAAGAATTTAACATTGTAATCGAGATAATGTATGCTAAGCTGACAAATATATTTGATTGGAAAGAAGAGCCAAAACTTCTTACAGAAATTGTAGTTTTGCGCGAGCTTATTACTGGGTACACAAACGTTTTGGAGATTCAAGAGACTGAATTAAAGCCAAGATTGGCAAAAGAAGACAAGAAACATTCCAATGACTCAGTGAAAAAGGTATCTCAGAAGTTTTAACATCGAGAGTTGATAAAAAGCATCGTCCAGGACGATAAACTCGCTTGAGGATACACAATAGACCTACAATCGCTAAAATTAAGAAGCACACTCCTAGAATTAAGAAAAAGTGACATATTTCTGCATGGATGAGAAGCAAGATAAAGCTTTAAACATGGCGATCGAAATTCTTCGCATTGAAAAGTGCCGCAAGCTCTTTAAGCCGGGGGAATGGCTGAATTTAAATACCCCAATGATAATAACCTTAATTTAAAATACTTTTCTAGAATAATAATCAGCAGTCAGTCTGTTGTTTAAGGTATTTGTACCTAAGGCCATTGCGCACCTATAAGCTAAACAAATTTTAGACCCAATGTTTTATGTAATAGTCTGTTTGCATTAATTTAAAAACTTCAGGAGAAGGGTTTAATTGAAAGCGAGGATGATCAAAACACAGATAACGTTCAAGACAAAATTAACGAGTTAAAAAATGAAACAAAAAGTTATTTGTCCAACATTTTGCTTGCTTATGAACAAATTTACGATATTATTATTATCAAAAACAGAGATGGTAAAAGCATCAAACGTCATACTAATGTAAAAAATGAGCTTCTCAAAACATTGAAGGAAGCAAACGCTCTAAATTCTGAGTTGAAAAAAAGTTTTGCTTCAGAAATTTTGACTTATTATCAAAATGAATGAAGTGCAGATGACAAGCATCACAAGAAGCGAAACGAAAGTTTGTTGAAAAATTCATGTACATATTTATGTAAATATTATACTCCATTATGAAGATACGTTTTATACCTCCACACTACTCCTTACACATCTTACAATTAACACCTTTCTTTTTTTGATTAACCAAAAGACCGCAAGTGTCAATTATACATACCGTATTTACTCTAATTAAATGACAGTCTCCAATTGAATGACATCTCTAATTGAATGACACTTTTTGGGGTATATGAAAAATAGAATGACTGTCATTCTATTAGAGAAAATACGGCACATTACAAACCCCAAGAACAATCTAAAGTTTTTACAAGGAAATTTCCAATGAATTATTATCATTTTGAAGCATGTTTAACTATTTTTTAAAATTGTATTTATTTGTTTTGATAAACATTTCTTCTTTGGTTGAGCTTTACTTCTAGCAATCAAATTTTTCATTAGTAACGAAATTTTTCATTAAATTGAAAAGCAAATCTTAACTTCAATCAAATTTTTTTCATTTGAATGTTATGTATTAGATCTAAATTATTAATTTCCAACTTTATTCAATAAGGGCTAACCTTAATAATTTTAGAGAAAAAGCTTTTACAAGTAGTCAGAATTATATTTATAGAAAGGAAGATCGAACTAGGAACAATCAAGCTAGTAAGGGGAGATTGTTACATTTTTATTGACAGGCAAGCGATCGAAGGTCTTGCTAAAGCTATCAATGTAAAAGAATGTTTAAAACATCCTATCAACTTTGCGAGAAGTTAATAAATCCACAATCAACACCATTATTTTGCTGTGAGTGATTTTCTGCGACTTTCATTTCCATTCCAATCAAATTTCTTAGCAATAGCGAATATTATATAAACATGCATTTCAGCTTAAAATAGAGTATGATGAAAAAAATTAAAAAACAATCATTATTTTCTCGCAGTCATTATTCTCTCGATTTTTTCCAAAAATGTATATCATTTATTAACAAGTTGAATGATAGAGGCCTCTTACCAAATTGATAATTTTTATATAATCCATATGCGACTACTTATATTAATGAAAATTCACGGAAAAAATTTATCTACATTTTAATCATTTAAATCGCAAACAATACATGGAATAATAATAAATAATAATATACATACTATCTGCTCATCCGCCCTTTGTTTTTTATCATTTTGAGAAGGAGAAGTAATAAAAAGAAATGCAAGCGGATAAACAGATAATACCAGTAAATATATAATCTGTACAGTGTGTTCTTTCTCAGAAAATCATGGGATATTGGGAACCGAACCGAACAAGTGTGCCAAAAAATCTTCGGTTTGGTCCCCAAACAAAAAATTAATATGTATAAATATGTACATTTAAATGTTAAATTTGAATATCATAATTCTGAATATATTTTTGGGAAGCTTTATATACACTTTTTTTATAATAATCTTTCATGGTACCGTATTTATTCTATTAATTGCCATCTCCTGCGAAGTTGCTTTGGCTTTATCCCACCCTAATGAATCTTATATCATGTTAAGACTATCGGTAAGCGTTATCTTTATCAACTGATTGATCAAGTATACTAAATTTCCTAATTCTAAATTTCCTTTAATTCCTAAGGCTGTGCAGTAGACGGCGTGATGTAATGGAAAACACATCAGTCGCTCTACTTAAATTGCTGGTTCGCTCCAAGCCGCGAATAACCCTTTCACTGTATGAAGGAGGAAATAGTTATCGCACAGCTGCTTTACTGTATATTCATAAAATGTTACCACAAATTAAGTGTAATTATTTAACGTTTTTCACATCTATCGAGTTATGACATTTAATTAGTGGTCAGCTTAGCTTGATGCATCCATTTCGAAAAAGAAACGGCTTTTCTAGGGGTTCGAAAGATACAAAATTCATTTGGATGGAAATGTTATAGCCGTTCAAATCTGTTTGAGACTAGACCGCTTACACTAACCATACCGTTCCTGTATTTTGGTCGCATTAATAGAATAAATACGTTAAGCTCAAATATAAAAGAGCCCGTCTTAATGCTTTGTCTTTTCCTTCTCTTGCTCAATCATCAGCATGCTTTTAATTAGCTCTCCAGTCTTCCATTCAGCATTTGGTATGATTTCCATTTGTTTCTCGACGTTTATATCAGAACGAGCCTTCTCCAGCATTTTTTGATATCCACTTTTGTCGTCTAACAAACTTGGAGGTTCATTAAGGTTTTTTGAGAACTTGTAGTGGATGTCCATAACGGCATAAACCATTAAAATATTTTTGATGATAATAGCGGAATTCATCTTTAATGAAATTAATTAAAATTACTAATGTCAAAGAGATAAAGGGATGGGATTTTTTTCAAAGCCTGATTATGCCTGGGTTTGTCTGAGATTTAAAAGTCTACGGTTGTACTAATTTAAATATATTTCATCTAAATATGCTATAGAAAGTAGCAATCTTACCATTATGAAGTAAGAGTTAAGCAAAAGATTAGCCGCCTTGCAGGATTCTAGGTGGCTGACCTCCTTTTGTTAATGTTAGGCGCTTTCGCTTACCACAAACATGAGCTAATCTACCACGGAGCTACCGGAGAGTCGACTAATGCTTTCTCTTTGCCCTTTATAGAAACCCTTGCCTAATGATGCTTAGGTGAATCATCTTTACAATGGACATATGAAGGATAAATAGAATGGGGGCAGCTTTGGCATTACCAAGTTGATCTATTACAAACTTGTTATTACCAGTATTGGTATTACCAAGTATTCGAAAGTTGAAAATAAAATATTAGACGAAGGGTAAATTTAGGAGGGGTCAAACGAGGAGAGATTTTCTTTATCGATACTCGCCAGGCTGAATAATCTAACTACTATCAAAAGCCTTCTGATTATATCGTAACATTACATTAATTTAAAAACCTTTAATTCAAATTGAGCTCGAACATAATTTGTAAATTGATTCTCTTCACTAATAATCATATATCCACCAAAGTTTGTTCTTCCCGGCGCATATCCTTCCATATTTTGCTTATCCATCATATGCTTATATTGCATATGAGCTTTATCTTTAGCTACTGTAAAACAAAAATATTTTTAAAAATGTTCATCTATCGGTATTAATTAAAAATGCGCCCAACCCTGTTCCAAAACTATTTCCCTACCCGAAAAATTTTCTGTTTTTAGAAGTATGCTTCCCATAAGACTCCCCAATTTTAGGTGAATTTTGCCTTATAGACATCTAAAAATCTTTAAATTTTAACCTGTGGTACAAAAAAACATTGTAACTCGTTTCCTATCCGTCCTACATTTATGCTTTAATTTCCATTCTGGTTTGAGTTATCCTTTTTTACATGACTCGGAAAGTTATCAAGGGATATGAACGGTACTTTCAAAAGGATATCAGTGGTATCTTGTATTTTGTAAGGATATTGAAAGATTAAGGGATTTGAAGGGATATAGTGGAAGGTGTGGATTAATTAGATTAGAAGGCAATACGAGAATTTAAGGGATATCTAGGTGTAAAGGGAGATCGAGAGATAAAGTGAGATCTAGGGAAAATCCTCCATAATAGCCCAATTTTTTTTCAACCCGCCCATCCTTGTGACATACCCAATAATATTATTCAAGATATACCTTCTCCAAATAATTGAATATCCTTGTCTAGAGAATCTTCACTTGTATCTAATTTTTTCAAAATTTTTTGAATTAATTCATTGCGCATGACGTATAAGTTTGCAATGTTCTCATTATACGTCAAAGTCTTTGGTGTACTCCAAGCAATATCTTTTAGTATATCGTACATTGCTCCAAATATTTTGTAGAAGTGGTAACACGATACATGTATTTCATAATTCCTAATTTCGTCAATAGCCTCCTTGCCTAACTAAAAAGAAAATTTTTGGTTTATCACAAAAGTAAATATAAGAATAACAAATGCGGGAAAAGACAAGAGTAGTGAAGGACAGCGAAGGACTTTGGTGCCTAACAAGTCTGAACGCTAATGACCCTTCATACTAGACCTACATACCTAACATCTATAGTTCACATATACTCACTCGCTCCATATCACGGGATTAATTCTTGTTAACAAAGCATTCTTGTTACTACTTAAAGCAATAGCATGGATGGGACGAGTTACCCGAAACCCGGAATTTTTCAAACGTAAACCCGACCCGACTTTCTTTCAACCGTCCCATCCCTGATAAATATCTATCTAATATTATAGTCACTAAGATCGTTTTATAACGATTGAAGAGGTGATTAAAAATTGAGCAGTGCTTGTTTAAGTTTTACCGTAGAGTCAGCATTTCCAATTCGTTCAGTAATTGTATTCTTATATATATTTAAGAGTCGAACAACTTCCATGTACGACTTAAAGCATCTTACAAATGCTCCTCCATTAGTAGAATCGGTATCATCATCATATTTTTTCAAGCGCTCTTCAAGCTTCAAATCCTCTTTGAGAGGCACATAATTAAAATTTAGGTTTATTAGATTTTGCTTAGCTCAAGGTCGAGTTGCTATAAGCAAAATTATTAGCATATCTAACAAGGGAACATTCCGAACTGTCAGTAAAAATTTCAAAATAAAACTTATACCATCGTGTAGAGCGTGATCGAAAACGTATCATGGTTACTTTCTTTTTTGGCTCCGACCCCCATTTCGAAAAGTTATAGGGGTTCAAAGTTTCCTACTTTTGGAACGGTTGAGTCTCCCTCCCTACTTTTATTAAAGAAAATTTTTCTCCTCCATAAGAGAAAAATAAGACTCCCATCCTTCTTTTTTCCTTTCCTTTTCTTTTCCAACATTAGTTAGAGAAAGAGAAAAGGGGGAGAGAAAAGAAAAGGAAAAGAGGCGTCTCTGCCTTGCAGCTAATGTCAATTAAAAAGGAAAGAGGAAAAAGGCACAGATGTCTCTTTTCCTTTTCTTTTCTCTCCTCTTTTTCTCTTTCTTTAGACAGCACAGGAAAAGAAGAGGGAAAAAATAAAAGAGAAAAGGAGTCTCATTTTTCCCTTTAGGAAGAGAAATAATAAGAAAAGTGAGGGCGACTCAACCGTTCCAAAAGTAGGAAACTTTGAACCCCTATAACTTTTCGAAATGGGGGTCGGAGCCAAAAAAGAAAGTAACCATAATACGTTTTCGATCACGCTCTACACGATGGTATAAGTTTTATTTTGAAATTTTTACTGACAGTTCGGAATGTTCCCTTGTAAGTATCTTGGTCAGACCTCGCCAAACGGCGGCTAGAATTGGAAAAAGCGAGACCAATACCGAGACCAATACCGAGATTCTCGGCTTTTTTCCAATATCGGTCTCGGTTTTTTCATTCTTGTTCTCGAACCCAATACTGAAATTCTCGGTCCATTTCTCGGCGAGGAATGCTCAAGGAGAGCCTACCTCATAATACCTTCAAATTTACCCCTTAAATACCTTCAAATCTCCTTTTTCTCTGGCGCCTAACAAGCTGAACGATTGGCCTTGGTGCCTGACGATTATATGTACAAGAACCATATATACATTATTATTTAGGGTGATAATGTACCCTTTAAAATCTTTAAAATATTTATAGCAATAACCTCAAAAATGCCATTCTTTGCTACTTCCGTAATTTCTTTAAATCTTTCAGTATATTTTTGTTTAAATCCTTCAGCATCTTCACCTTGAATAATTTCCTCGGCCAAATTTTCGTTTTTAAGATTGTCAGCTTCATTCATCTCCGAACGCAATTTTAGCTTTGCTCTTTGTATATCAGCCACAATTTTAAAATCTGCTTCATTATAGCCCATTAAATTTTTATTTTTTCTTATGAATGTTAAACCAACACCTATACGGCTAACAATATCTTTGGCATCATTTTCAATTACTTTTTTCAGCTGAATAAATACAGCTGGATCTTGTCCAATTAAAAATTGAATTTTTAAATTTTTAATCATCTCGTCCAATTTATCTCGAGAATTCAAGACATATTTATAAACGTTGTTTGATAGACGATTTACGCTATCTTGTTCTTCATCTTTAAAAACCAACTTTTCCAACTCAGCTAAGGCTTGCTCAATGGATTCAATTTTTGTTTCTTTGCTTGGAATACTTAAAGATGAACTTGATTCGTGGGCATGATATGTTGGTGAAGTCGATCCTTTAGTCTAAATTTTGTTTTCATTAGTTATAGAAACGAGATGTAAAAGTCAACCAGCAGGAAAGCGTTGCTTTTTGCAACCTCCAGGCAGTTATAGCTATCCGCTACGGACGCTGATCTACCGAGGTTCTGCTTCCCATATAAAAATAACCTTCCCCTATCTGATTCCCTTGCCCTGACACCGCTTAATGGCATTTAATTTCCTAAAATCTTTATTACTAACTAGTTAGTGAAGGAAGAAATAAGGACAAATGAAATAGATATCGGCTGCTAATAACCGAAAAATTCACACAGCCGATGGGAGGTTGGATGGTGAACGGATTAGGCCGTAGTTTGTGGAGAAGGGTCTTTGGTTCGAAGGAGTCGAACCAAGCTTTCATACCTCAGATCTTTGAAATAATTTCTACATGATCTAAGATGCTCGAAATGTTCAACTACTATTATTTTAACGAAGCACCCGGAAAGAACCATAACCTCGAATAATACTCTAATTATCTACCTTCTTAGTGTTCTTTAAGGATTTATGGAAATCATGATTAACAAAATCCACAACAGCCCCAAGATCCGCTATCTTCTTGTTGAGCATATCATTAATGAGACACTGTCCATTTTTATTTATTCCTTCAGACAATGTCAGGAATTGAAATTTGAAAATCCATTCGGGAAATGAATTCCAAATTGGATCCTTCATGCATACTTCTTGCCGTTCTTTAACTAAATTTTCGATTGAAACAATCTCTTTGATTAACAATTGCTTTTCTTTCTCATTTTCGCGTTGTATAGCGAAAGATGTTGATGGTAATAAAATCAGAATTGAGATAAAATTAGTTAAAGGGTGTTTTAACATAATTTTTTCTAGAAATTTAATGAAAGTTAAAATGTCAAAATGAATGTCAAAAAGTCAATGCTTTGACGTTGATAAATGTTGTTACAAGATAAACTACTGTATATGCTCATTAAACTTTCCTATCTCAAATAATTACTCTCTTTTTAAATAGTTACCCTATTTGATTAAGAGCGGGGAATAAATCAAGAATATACTGTTGTGAAGCATTCACTTCCTAAGGGAGTGCAGTAGGCGGCGTGGTGTAATGTATAACACATCAGTCCGGTCTACTGAAGATGCTGGTTCACTCCCAGCCGCCGAATAACCTTTTGCGGTATCTAAAGGAGAGAAATAGTTATAGCCCTGTGCTTTACTCTGTATTACTAAAATCAAATGTTCAACCAAATAATCGTGTTTTATATAAAAAACCGACTTATCCAATTATAAATTCCCGTTTGGATGCCATAATGAAGTTCTACTTTTAAGTCTATGAAGGGAGTAATTTATAATACATACTTAAATTAAAAGGATTCAAAACTCTGTCGGGGAGGTTCATTTAACGGGGAGAGGTTTTATATGAATTTAAATTTGTCTTTACCTGTCCTTAAGTAAAGGAAGGAAGGGAGGGGATAAGGGAGGGAGGGAGGGAGGGAGGGAGGGAAGGGATAAGGGAAGGATGAAAATAAGGAATAAGGAAAGGAGGATAAGGAGGGGGATAAGGGATAAGGAAAGGAGGGAGGGCAATAAAAAAGGAGGGAATAAGGGACGGATGGGGGGAGGGCAATAAGGAGGGTGGGATAAGGAAAGGCAATAAGAGAGAAGACATTTAAAATTTAAGAGAGGGACGTCCTCTCAATTATTTTCATTGTCGTCGCGATTTATACGCGAGCGTGCTGTAAGACACTCACTTCTCCCCTCGTGAATCCTCCCTCCATATACATATATGACTTTGATTTATTGGAAAAATCAGTTGATTGGCAATGTGAATAGACTTGTGAAGGCGAGATGGGGGGACGACTAAATTCGATTTTTAAAAATTCTTCTCTTGTCTAAATTATTGTTTTGTTTATAATTTTATATGTTTGGCCATTTGACAATGCTGGCCAAACAATGTTGAGAATTATTTATTTAACGTAAGAAAACAAATTATTTCTTAGTAGCGCTTCAAACAAAAATTGACACTAGATAACAGGAAGATTACAAGCTGCTCTAAAACGACATAAGAAACTCGACACGACCCGATGAATTTTCCGAACTTTTACCCTTAACCCGACATTTCTACTTTTTCTTTAAAAATTTAGACAGGCCCTTGGCCATTAGACAGGCCCTTGGCCTTTTTTAAATAAGTTGAACTTGTTATGTCCGTGATTTGAATATTTTTAATGTTTTTTATTCATTTAACCTTCTTATCTAATTTGCCCCATTTTCCAGAATATTAAATACTTCCCTCATTCCAACTTTCAAATATTTCCTTTCATCTTCTTTAAATTGATGCCCTTCACCCTTATTTCCTAAACCTTTTCCTTTGTATATGTTCTTTATATTTTTATCATCTACCGCCCTTCCTAGTCCCTGTTTCATTTTATATACTTGTTTCATTCCAAACATTTTCATTGCTCTTCGGAGCCTCCCTTGACCCTAATTATGTTTGATTGTAGAAATAAATATTTAAATTAATTCCTCAATTAAATTGAGAGCTTAGGGTCATTGTACAATAAATATGTCTGTTTGCACAGAAATAATAGAACTGGCCTTCAAAATTCTGAAATTTGCGCCCGCGGCGCTAAAATTAGACTCCATTATCCAAATAATAATTTTCTTCCATCATGGAAATTCAGAAAAACTTCGTTCCCGTATCTGGAGCTCAGATTTAACGGTATCCCACAACTCTAAATCTCTGATATCCTTCATAATCCCCCTTCATCCCCGATATCACTCCAAATCGATATCAATTCAAACACTTGTATGGACACAAAATAACAAGGTGCTTCAGTCCAAAGACAGCTGAAATATTGTACTAGTCCATATACATACGAGAAATGACAAGATCTAGGACATTTTTTTTAAAACACCGAAAGAGCGAGACCAAGACTTGGCCTTAACAACGGGCAATGTTGTTAGGAAAGTTTGGTAAAAAAATTTTTTTGGGTGCAGTACCTTGGTATTTTGTGTCCATTAATATTTTAAAAAACTCAACTCTCCCTTAAATCTCTCTCTCAATTCCTCCTATAAACTTTTGAATCCCTCTCTTCTCAACTTATTTTTCTATTAAATTGATTTAATTAAATTTAATTATTCAATTTAAATAATTTAATTGGTTGAATTTTACATTGAATAATTTTCTCGTGATGCGTGATAGCCTCGCGACTGTCATATGTATTGCCCTTTTCTCGAGGCACTAGGCAGTCAATTATTAGTCTTGCGATTTCTTTAAAGAGAAGGTCGGTGTCGATTGGGCGCAAGACGAGAAACAAAGAGGAGAGACTAAGAGGGATTTATGTTAGATACAAATTTATGTTAGATACTCAAGCGCCTTAACAATCAAGCGAGTCTTGACATTGACTATTTTTATTGACTGACTCTTATTGACATTCCTGCCCTCCCTCCCGTTTACTTCTCCCTCCTCTCCCCACTCCCAAATTTATTTTAGAGGCAAGTGACTACCTCCATAGCCTTGCGCTACTCAGACTTGTGAAGGGGGGGGGGGGGTGAGAGAGAAGCTTAGAATGCCTCTCATATAGGGATTCTGGCATTTTCCCCCTCACTTTAGATTTTTTATTCAACAATTTTAATTTAAAAAATATCCCTAGGATTTGTTTATAGTTGAGGCAATGCGCAATAGATACCGTAAACCCTGTATATTTTTTAATGTTTCCCATAACTTGTTGTTGTTATGAGTAAAAATGGTTTCAGGATGATTTGATAAATATTGTGTTTGTTTTGTGTTGGTGTTAGTATAGAAAACACCATCATGTAGGACCATAATGACCGGTTAGTCTGTAAGTTTTAAGGTTTGTCCAGGTCAATCCACATTCGTCTACAATTTATACAATTTATCTATACACTGAATAAACGTTATTCCTGTGTCAACTTTGAGTTTTCTATTAACAGGAACATAATTAAGGGTCTATTCTAATAATGTTGGTTTTCTATCTGGATTTACGATATCCGATTTCCATCTATAATTCTTTTTAATTTTAGATACTTCCGTATAATATGCGGTTTAAACAGTGTCTATTCATACTTCTTATAATCTTCTTGCAAAAATGTTCAGCTCCACAAACGTTTGACATAGATATTAAAAGCTATGTTCATGACTTAGAAATTGAACTGGAAAACCTCAAGGCTACAATAGCCTACAAATCGGTAGGTTCTAAACTGATGATACTAACTGACTCAATTGCTTGTTCCCCATATTTATTTAGTAGATTTCTAAATTTTGGTTGGACACTAGAAAAGCACTATAAGTTTCATAACCACTACTTAAGTTTCTAACAATAATATGCAACTGTAAGTGTATATGGTCTATCCTGACACTCTTGGCTATGGGTATTAACTATGGGTATATAATATGAGTGAAGTCCACTAGGTTCCGAAATTTGTTAGAGATTTATCCTTGGAGGCACTCTAGGTCTAGATCGCTGTCCACATTTCCGCGAAAGGCAATAATTATCTGCATTTTACTCCTATGCCTTTGGGATAACAAATAATGCTTGACGATATATCTGTTAGGTATTATGACATAGTATAGCTAAAGAGACTGGAATCTGAATATTTTTTAGTGATTCATTCATGTACAGACGACACAAACAAAATGATTAAGTAGATTTATTAGAGCATGGTTTTTGAGGTATATTTAGGCAAGCTTCATAGCTTGATCATATTTATTTTCATATTTGACATGTTGCAAAAATTTGTACATGTATTCTGTAAAATATCCTATAAAATTTAACAGAAAATTATTCGTCAAAATTCAAATTGGTCAATACAACCAGAGGAAGTACAGAAATACTTGTTGGATGTTGAGGAAGCTGACTTTTCTGCTATTCAAAACTATGTAGGCAAGTTCGGTGGCGATAATAAAGGGCAAGATCATGCTGGAGAAAATGCTCAAAGTGCGGACTTTACTAGTTTGACAATGGCATTTGGCGTCCTTGACAAAATGATGTTAGTTTGTGCAGTATAATTATTTCTATGATAACTTTAGTGTAATTTAATCAACCAGAAAGGCTCTTAAGAAAAATTGAGGGCCTCATTACTCGGATTTATTGCCTCATTACTCGGATGTGCTTAACTCTCTTACCGGATGCAAGGCCGAATTTGTCACAGTCTCACAAATTAAGAAAAATTTTAAAGATCAGTCCGTGGTGGGACGATTAAATAAACGTTTTCTTGCACTTATCGACTTCTGACCTTTTAATGGACGATCAGACTATCCATCCAGTAGGAAAAAGATAGCGCTCATTGAGGGCTTTTAAATAATCTAAAATTCATTCGAATGGGATCAAGATTAAAAAGTTACAGCCGATCAAATATTGAAAGGGATATAAACACATAGTATGAAATTTAATTTTATTTAAGGTTTACTAGAGATGATTTTAATGTTGTGAACAAGTACAACAACAAGATAAAACATTTTTTTGAATACCGAGAGAGAATAAACGTGATTTCTGATAATATTCAAATACAGTTTTTGATTGGCCAACCAGCTCAAATATTCAAAAAAGTTGGAAAAGATATTGGTGGAATTATAAGCTCATCTAATACAATGCAAAATTATTGCAAAAAGTTGTTTGAAAGGTGAGGCAAAAAGTTATTAGAGAGGGGATTTTCATCATATCTAATCTCAAAAGAGGTGTACCTTTTTGAGCCTCCCGGACAATGCGTCAGTGGACAATCGGTCAGTATTGATATAAAGTGATTAAAAGTTATGATATAAAGATATAAAAATTCCTTGATATCCCTTCAAATCGGCAAATCTCCATCTTAATCCAACCAAATAACTTGATATCTCTGTTAATCCTCCCAAGCACGAGATATCGGCCTTAATCCCAACAAATCCCTCTATATCTCTTTTAAACCCCAAAATCCCTTTTTAAATACTCCTAATCTGTGTATATCCCATCTTTAGTCCTTTTATATCATTTTTTATCTCTTTACATCATCACTTTTAATCACTTTTTATCAATACTGACCGATTGTCCACTGACGCATCTTCCACTGACGCTCAGGACACGTTTTTTGAGGAGCTCAACTTTTTTGTTATTTTTTGAATAACCCATGTTTGCGGGGAATCCTTGTCACATTTTCAACTGATTCTGGGGTTTTACAACTCAAAATAGCTTGTAACTAGTTATTGGCCCCGGGTATTTTTTCGGAGTCCGCTTCTAAATCCGGGTTTTTTCGCAATCTCAGTATATTTCCGACCTTCTTGAGATAAAAATTTTATTTTCGTCCTCTCTTACATCAACAATTCTTTTTAAATTCTAGAAGTGAACTTTGGAAGATTTTGAATGAAGAAAAACAAAAATTTATAGAGCAAGAAACTACTAATATTAAGCTATACAACAAATTATTAAATAAACTTGATGACTTGACAGAAGAACAACAAAATTTGTTGTATCCGCAAAGCGTAAAGATAATGCGAGTTGATTTATCAGAAACGACTAAAGAAATTGAGACATTAAATGTTGTTTTGGCTGCTAATAGTAAAAAAATTAAAGCTAAAGAAGAGGAAAAAAATTCGTGGCTCACTCGTAGCAATAAGAAAAATACACTAACGGAGGAGTTGGCAGAATTAATTAAATTTAAGACAATGACAGTTAACGACTTAGAAGCTTGGAAATTATATTATGGCATTTATGAGAGGATGAATGCTAAAGTTGATAATATTTTGAACGATATTAAAAACGTTGAGGTTGGACCCTTTTTTGTTTTTGTAACGAAGCAATATAAGTTTGACTAAGGCCGACTCGAGTCGAGATCTCTCTCGGTTATCGAGAATCATATTTTCAAGATTTTGATCTCGATTCTGTACGATACTCCCGTGTCTCTACTTATGACATACTTTGCTAACATATCCCAAGGTCGACCAAAATGGTTATTCTGCTTTAGGCTTCAATTATTTCGGTCTTAAATAAATTTGTACGTCTAGTGCAAAAGATTATTTGGAGGATGGAAACCAGAATATTCAGTAAACCGGAGTTACATACATATGTGTTATCTATTATGTAATATACTGTACCTAGCTTCTAGGTACAGTATATTCCTTCTCTGGTGGAATTCCTTTTTTTTAAACTCATGGCCTAAGGTATACATCGTCATGCGTTTAGCATTTGCTGCACCATCCGGTGCTATCAGTAAAGCAGCTGGGCTATAGCTCTTCTTCAGTTAGTCAAAAGATCATTTGGCAGCTGGGATCTAACAAGCATCTTCCTTAAGCCGGAATATGGTGTTATTTATTACACCATGTCTGGTACACTCTCTAGTGTTTTTCAAATTTTAAATTTAACTCTATTTTAGCCAAAGGATTTTTATAAAAAATTGGTCGTTTTGTACACCAAAATCGACTTATACAAAGGCTTTAATGAAAAAATAAAAGAGCTTCATAAAAATGTTGGGTATCTTGCAAATCAAAAAGAACCAAATCCAGCAGCTTTATTCAGGAATGAAGCAAATTTTAAAAAATTCAAAGAAATTATAGTTTTGCGCCAAGTGTTTATTTCAAAATATTTGGAGATTTTAGAGATAAATGAGAGCGAGTTAAAGGCAAATCTAACGGAGGAGAATATGGAAGAGGAAAGTAATTCATGGTCGACTACTATATTTTCAACATCCACGGATGCTCAATCATCGGATTCTGGGAGTTCCTCAGACTTTGGAGAATCTTCACTAACTTTGACTTCAAGTCATCCTCATACCTCCGGATCGACATCGACTTCTTATCCAACCAAGGTTTTTTAATATAAATTATATTGGTTGATGGTCCCATTATGAAGTATTTTACTGGAACGGCTTTACTTGGGAGGAATTGTTGATGTAAAATTTAACAAAAGTTTATCTACCAGGCAAAAGTTTAGCCACCGGGCTAGATTCGAACCTGCAACTTCCTTGTAGTTAATTGCTAGGCGCTTTCACTGACTTCAGGAGCTCCAACACTGAGCTACCGGGGAATCGACTGCTTTCTCTTTTACTTTTAGATCGTTTAACCCTCGCCTAAGCGTTTAAATGCGCAAGTCAATCATCATTACATACTATTGTCTGGTTTTTATAATAAACTCCACTAACTGTGTCTCCAATGGAATTTTTTCTAACTGTTTTCATTTCTCAATTTTATTTAAGGAATCACTCAAACCCCTAACAGAAAAATTGAATAATCTGAAAAAGAATACGATAAACTATTTGCCAAACGTTCTGCTTGCTTATGAAAAATTATATGAACATTATGGTTTGGCTTATGAAAAGCACGAGAAAAAACAGTATCCTAAAAATTTGGATAAAGAGGAACAACGTGAAGTGATCAAGGAGATTAACTATTTTGCAAATTTGGTCAAGAAATTGCCTCAATTTGTGGAAGAAAAATTTGATTCCTTTATGCTCGATTGGTTTCAGAAATTTTATTAAGCGATGTTCGGTTAAAAGGTGGTGATAGTTCGGTTTGTGACTTTTTTTTCTCAGTTTTTCATCTCCTTGGAAAAAAAGTTTTGTACAGTGTGGTACTGTACAAAAGTGAAAAACACTTCTTAAGGAAGCATTATTTGAGGCAAAGCACTAGGAAAAAAACAAAAACTTTTTCTAAGGAGATGAAAAAATGTGGAAAAAGTGGTCACACAAATTGAACTATAACTAGAGTTTGTACGAGCTCGGGACTATAGTAACTTTGAATATTAATTAGATAAGGTTTCAAAAGCCACAAGGACAGGACTAAAAATCAAGGAGTAGTCAAAAGGGTTGGTTGGAACAAAAACAAATGTCTATATTACATGTGAGAGTAATGGAAGTATTAGTAGTATTAGTATTAAAGGTGTACTTAATATTAGTATCTGGGAACGTTATTTAAATGAGAAAAACTCGTCCATTCTCGTATAAACTCTAACACTGAAGCCAGAACTGTTTTGAACTTTCAAAGTTGAAGTTCTCTCAATTTTTGCATATCTTTTTTCATACCGTTTACAACAAGGTTCGTATTGGCTAAAAATGAAGTTAAATGTCAAACAATTTTAATTTCAAATTTATGAGTGTCGTTTTTCAATTTAAAGAACAAATACGAACCTTGCCTTACATCAATTACAATTTCTGCATTAAACAAAAAAGTAACTAAATTCACACATTGTATATATTTAAACCTTCTAAATCGTAAAATTCATGTAAAATTTCATGTAAATTCATTTATATACAAATTTAAAATTATGTAAATTTTCATCCAAAATTGTATAAAATTTCATATATTCACAGCAATTTTTAATTAATTAAATTTAATGTCTGATATGTAGAATAGAAGCTAGTGCGAAGGAGTTTAATAAAAATAAACAAGGGGGAGTTTTCTGTGCCTTTCTGTGATTTTTTGAAAATGATTTCATACGAATTCTGGTCATCATATTCACAAAAATGGTAGGATAACAAGATCACTCCGACACAATTTCTTTAATTCAGTAAATGGAAAGCCTGGGAATTTAGTATTGTAAAAGTCAACAAAAACACCTTTATCTCTCTGTCTATAATTTTGGTAACGAGCAAAGTAACAGTCAGACAACAACAGGATATGATGATTTTGGAGAGCTTTCTCAGCATTGTTTAAATTGATGTTCGACAATAATTCTCCAACATAACAATGCTAAAGAAGACATGACGGCTGTTGAAAAGATTCTGGACGGGCTATGGTGGTGAATCATTATCTTCAGGTCAAGGCAATCGGAAAGCATGTAATTAGAATTTTGAGCTGGTTCTGTATAGTATAAACTAAATTAGATTAAAAAAGGCAAAATTCGATTAAATAAAGATAACAGTACATTAAACTTTTCTGACAAAATGAAAACGATCTGTTCAATCTTGTTACAAACGATTAGTTCAATCTTGTTAGACAAAGTTTTATATGGAGTTTAAAAAAACAAGATAAATATAATCATCAAGAATATTTACATGAATTTAATGGGTATACATATACAGAGGTATAAATAAGGAAATATGTATGTTTAAAAAATAATGCATAAATAAGGGATGTAAATTTGAATAAAATTGATATTTGTTTAACAAATAAATTTTCAACTTTTAACTCTTTTACACTTTATGAGTCCGATCAAGGTTTATGAATTTTTATAGTATACTATAAAGAAACTAACTAGACTAGTTCTAATTCTTCCAGCCTACGTTGCTCAATTCTAGTATATACTAGGGTCTAACAGAACTTAATCACAAAAATCGAGATCTTTTTGATTGAGAGTTCAAATAACTGAAATTGGGAATTCATTTCTGTCGGCCAGACCTTGGTATGTCCATTTAAAAGCATGCCCACTTAAAAGCATAGATCTTGATTGGACTCTTTAAAAATAATAGAGCTTTTTTTCCTTTTCACTCTGATATGTATGTACATCGTCTCAAGTCACAATCATTTAAAAATCTTTCATCTCTTCACGAACATTGTTTAGCATGATATGATAATCATTATCCATTAAATTGTTCAAAAATTCCGTAAACTTGTAATGCATTTCCAATATGCCATATGCACGGAACATATCATATACGATTGGAGCCAGATTTGCCTTAAGATTTAAATAAACTGTTGAGAGAACGTAAAATTTGTACTTTATAACGGTAGAATAAGCTGCCCTTTTATAGCATTCGATAAAGCCCTTTTAACGAAGAAGTCTATAAAACTTAATAAGCAGCTTTGAAGCACACAAATTTAGGAAGCAAATCTTATTGCGGCTAAAGAGTGTAGACCAGACGTGGTCTTCGAAACACGATAGCCATGTTTCGCTGAGGCAGGCCTTATAGAGGGCAAAGCCCCATATCGCTCGAATTGTTATCAAGGACAAATATGTAAGAGTTAAACAAAAGTCCATAACTTTGCCCAATGCAGTCGGATACTTTGGTGTATCATTAGAATATGTGTTTCAAGCTCTTCCTTATAGGTTTTAAAATAAACCAGCTATTTCAATCACCATAAAGTCCAATTTTTAAGTACATAGGAAAATATATCAAAGTTAATATTTTAGCTCCATTACCTTTGCAGTCGCTAAATTAAAGTTATTTTCTGCTTGAATAAATTGCTCAGACTGTACGACAGTTACACAATATCCTGTTTCTCCTTTTTTATAGTTTTTGTTAAATTTGGATTGATCGTAGCGAAAGAGATTAACCTCATCTTCCAGTCGTTTTGCTTCTATTAAATAAATGTTATTTTTATGTTATTGTGATTATCACATTCATTTAATGCTTAATCTTCAATTAACACTTACTCGCTCCTTCTGGATTGAGAAAGTTCATCCTTCTCTACAACCTTTGTCTACCTTTTGTATTTATACGTGTGATAAACTGTTTTCGGATTTTAAATCTCGATAAAGGGATTACAGTAAATATGCTAATTTAGGCCCTCGGCTTGTTTTTACAATGTGTCTCCTCGTATGGAACTAATAGGATATAAGCTTCTTATAAAGGTAGCATATATTAGAGATTTACGGAGTATTAAAACTTATGTATGTTCTTTCGTATTTTCTATTAATTTTGATTGATATGTTAAGAGAAATTTTTGTGGATTTTTTAAAAATAAATAAAAACTTAATAGGGTTCTAAAATATTAACAGAATGTATCCGCCTTACAGTGAACCAGGCTAAATCTCTGCAGACCTCGCTACATAGAAAGTCACTTTAAAAAATTTTGTAAAGACAAACCCTTAACTAAAGTCGAGTTGTCTTTGCCTATTTCCGCGAGCCCTATTTCTTTCAAATACACTGGAACTATTTCATTGCGTAAAACATATAATTCTGCAAAGCTTTTAATAATATTTTCAGGTAATTTAACAATAAAATCGTATTTAGCCTGAGAAATTATAAGCAAAAGATGCTTCATTTTGTCCAATATTTCAATAAATTTTTGGAGCATTCTATACTTTTCAGAATAAAATTTATTGACATTTTCTTCAAAATTACCTTGCTAAATATATTAAATTTTAAATAAATTAAAACTTTGATTTATCAACTTAAATTTGTGACCTAAAAGAGGGAAGATGTAGGCCCCTCCCCCCACTCCCACCCCCCTCCCCTCCACTTTTTTAATTTTATTTCTTCCTAAGAATATGCATAATAGTCAGTTTACTGATAATGGTCAGCTTTCTCTTTGCCTGAACGAAGATTTATGTAAAATTCCGGGATTTCGAGTAGGCTTTGTTGTGTGAGGGCAATTTTTGTGTGACAAACGCAAAATTTTCAAATTTTTAAAAAACGCCAGACTCCACACCGACAATATCGGCCAAAAATGAACGCCAACCGCCATGGCGCATAGCCCTGATTTTTAACATATAACCTATTGGTAAAATTAGATTGATCTAAGGACATACATCATTTTTCAATTCCGTCTCCAAATCTTCGAGAATTTTTTGACCGTTGTCTGTCAAGTCTTCAATTTTAATCATCTCCGGATTAATATTCTTTAAATCAGAGTTAACAGAATTTTTTTCATTTTTGTTCTTTTTGACCTTTGAATGAATAGATATAATACTTATGTCCTTTTTTACATGCTTTTCTCTAATTTCCTTCTTCTTCTCTTCAAATTCTTTCTTAATGTGATTGATGAAACTTTCGGTTTTAATATTTAAAATCTTAAGATTGTGTGCATTTTCTTTCATAATTTTTTCAATTTCATTTTTCAATTCTTCAAATTTTTTAGCGCTTAGACCAGTCAAAAATTGAATTTTTATTTGTTTAATTTTCAAGTTAATTTCATTGCGAGAATTAATTAAACTGCCAACAATGTCTATAGTCAATTTTTTTACTTCAACTTTCTTTCCATTTGTAAATTTTAAATTATCCAAAATTTTAAACGTTTTGATCAAAGTTTCTAAATTCTCTTGAGTTTTCTAAATTAGGAAAATTTTTAGTGAACGTGAGGTTGGTGTGAGTACGAGGTTCCCTTGGAATTAGGATGGTTCGCTGCTTGGGTTGAATGGCTAATTAATGAAGCGGTCTCAATCTTGAGTGTCCGGGAGCTATAACTTCGTTCAAAATTGTCGAATCCGGGAGGCACTGGTATGGTTCGATTCAGCTCGTCGAGGCGCATCAAACCAAGGCGTCCCGGATTCGACAATTTTGAACGAAGTTATACTGGGCTCGCGGTATATTACTGGCCTGCTCCCTCCGGGAACATTTTTGCACTTATCTTTTATTTATTTAAGGCAAGATCTCAAAGTCGGGGCTCTGAGAGAGTCGGAACTCAACCAATATTTACCGGATTTCATGGCTTATTAAATAATCCCATCTCTGAGATTAATATTTATTTAATTGTCAATCAGTTATGACTATCTTACAAGCATCTTAAGTAAAAGTTAAATTAACAAAAATTACGAAGGAAGAATAGACGGCTAATTCGAAAATCAAAATTAATAAAAAGGAGATTTGACCATTCCTAGGCAGAAAGAATAAAATGAAAATTAATCTGAGACCCGAATAGAAAGGTGGCGAGATGGTAATAAGGTACTGTTGTGTCCGCACTTGCAGAAAGAACATAAATGAAAAAAATAACACAACATTGGGTTGGATGGAGGCACAGTCGGTTGTGCCTCGGTCTGGGCCCTTTACGTATGGTTCAATTCCATCTCCCATCCACAATTTTTCCACAGCATGAACATCGGACATGACAAATGGCGCGGTCGGACAGGCCAGGCTTAGCCTGAGGAAATTTCAGCGAACCTTAAATGCTGTGATGATCTGACATTCTGTCACTGTGGAGAGAAAAAGGAGAAGACCATGAACATCGGACATGACGGGTACCAGGAGTTATTAAAAGAATTCTAAAATTGGTACCTCAGGATTTTCGCTTATCGGATTGTTAGATGTTGCCTGAACATAATTAACAACACCACCAATACCCGCCAACTTCTTCCCATTCAAATCTGTTATATAACATTTTTCATTTTCCATATTCTTCATAAATACAAGATTTCGAACTTGTTCAGGAAACGAATTCCATGTGAGGCCCTTAAAGCCTTTAACTTCTTTCTCCACAAGGTTCACGATTGAATTAATTTGTTTGATCAACAATTCTTTTTCCTCCTTTACATCCCGTTGAATACCTTGGGAAGCTTGGGGGAGCAAAAAAAGGACAAAAATAATTTTAAATAAATGCTTGATTAACAAGCTGTGTTTAAGCAACATTGCTAAAAATTTTAAAAATTAATCAGGGAGTATTATCAAGGAGAAAAATCAGGGAAAATACTAACTTATTTAAATAATAATTCAACCAAAAAAAAACCAAAATACTTATTTTGCCTTGGACTGAAAGAATTGGGCTCCCTACTGGAAATAAAATGTTTATCTGACAAGGCAGATCTGAACTAGCGATTTCTACTTAGCTTATACTAACGACATTTAGATGAGGGAGCGAGCATCTTCAGTTGTTCGGCTTGATGTTTGTGTGAATTGTTATGTCCAGTTTATTACGTGACTGTTGCGGTGAGCGACTTCGTCTCCCACTGAATGAAGTCGGTGGGAGACGATCTTTCTGTTTTGTTCGCAGAAGCATAGGCTTATTAGCCGACGAATAAATATATAGGTTCCCTCAAGAATATAGGTCCCGATATGAATCTTCTTTTTATTTTATTTCAGTGGCCGAACCGAAAACCTGTTGTTTGGCCAATTCATATGTTGGAATCGGTTGACTTATAAAATTTAAAAAATTAAAAAAAGATGTCAAATAAATTTAAATAATGCCTGTTAGCTGCCTATAAGAAATTGGCCAAGGACGGCAATTAAGAGGGGGCAGTAAGGAGGAGGGGATAAGGGAGGGAGGAGGGCAATAAGAAGGAGGGGATAAGGGAGGGAGGGAGGGAGGGAGGGAGGGATGGAGGAGGGCAATAGGAGGGATGGCATTTAAATTTTAAGAGAGGGAATCACTCTCTATTATTTTCATTGTCTTTGCCTTTTCCCCGCGAGCGTGCCGTCACACGCTCAATTCTTCCCTCATGAATCCTCCATGTGTGTCCTCCATGTGTCTTCGATTTATTGAAAAAATCATTTGACTGGCAATGTGAATTGACTTGTGAAAACAAGCATGGGGGGACTCTCGCGACGACTCTGATTTTATTTAAAAATTATGAATTGATTTGTTTATATAATTTGAATGTTTGGCCATTTTACTGTGTTTTTGCTTTCTGTTGCCTTTAAAAACTTAAAGAGGAAATTTAAAACAACGAACAGATTAACTCAAATAAAATACAATGTTTGCTAAAATAATTACCCAGGGGAATTATTTTTTCAACCTTTTGCTGGAGAGAGTAATTAATACTTAAATTAATATGGCTAATAAGCATATACGGAGATGTGTCAAATTCTTGGATATCTGAAGCTCAGGCTTGTTATTTTACTTTAATTGCATAGCGAGAATCCAGCTGCTATTTTCAAGAGGTTACTGTGTTTGAGTGATGTTGCCGTTAAACGTTTACGTGGTTTTTATGTTAGGCTTGCTAACTCAAAAAACTGTAAGGCGCGGAACGACAAACACAATCGGACAAGTTAAAGTCTTTAAAAATTCCTCCTGATATCTGTCACTACAACTTAAAATTTCAAACTCTACTCATAAATTCCTAAAGCTAAATTTTAATTAAATTCTTCTCTAAAATTTTAAAATTGTCTAGATTCTTATTTGAACAGGTTTAAATTATAAAGTTCATATAGAATTGTTAAAAATGTACTTAATATAAATTATTGCATTATTAAATTAATTTATCAGAAATGCACTTTAGTGAGTGTAAAACAAAGGGTTAGTTTGTACAAACATTTGAAAAGTCGCAATAAATTTTGATATAAATAGGAGTCTAGAACTGAACTCAGTAAGCTCTCTTTGATACTCAGTAAGCTCTCTTGAATCACACAAAAATGTTAATTAATAAATTTCAATTAATTTTATTTTTTATCCTCACCGTTTACGCGTTAACCATTTTAGCTGTAAACCCTCCTTTTGGAAGACTGTCAGTAAATAAAGGCCAATTAGTTGGGGCAAATGGTCGACCAGTTCAGTTGAGAGGAATTTCTCTTTGGTTCAGTCAGTGGTTAACTCAATGGTATTCTCCTCCAGCTGTTAAGGCTATTAAATGTTTCTTTAATGGAAATGTTGTAAGTTTCTTTTATTATATTTTAGGCCTCGGAATCGGCGATGTCAAGAGTTATCCAAAATATGATACATGAAATCCGAACGATTTTTCGATTCGGATCCTATAACCTATTCACGAAATTTTGTTGAACTTTAGAGAATAAAATTTATAAAAATTTCGGCTTTGAAACAAAACTAAATTTCTGTCCTAGAGTAGGGCTCACTAGAAATATTTCCTTATCAATCGTCTGGAACATAAAATATTGTGCTCATAATCAACGTTTTTATTCATCATTTTTCTAAAGCTAAATAGGAGATTATAATTGATCGGATGTTGAGTTTGAGTTGAACAGAGTATTTTTGGATGCCATGCTAAAGCATAGGCAAATGAGTGATATTTAGACAAACATGAGTTAAGTCAGAATGTATCTAAATGAGAGAATACTGGGAGTGTCGCACGAGAAATGAGATCTCGAATGAATTTTTTGTTCGATCTCGATAATCGAGATTTTCGATCGACTTAATGACTTGGTCCTGTCTCTAATCTTTCACGGTTCCACTATCTAGGCTCGTATACAAGTGCGTATATTCCGAAAAGTTCTGATCCCTTGCCTTTGTTGCTGATTCATAGAGCTGTTCATGACAAAAGGGGCAGCTCCAATACTTCATGCTCAAAATAAAAATTTTTCTCTCAGGTTCGAGCAGCAATTGGAACTTGTTGTTCTGGCTATTTGGAGAACCCACAGGCTGCGATTAAGGCAGCCATGACTGTTGCAGACGCCGCCATCGCGGTAACTTTTAGCTACAAAAATTTTAAAAATAATTTTAAGAACGGAATTTATTTCATAATTGACTGGCACGATGTTGCTAACCAGAAATGCACAAACGATGCAGAATTTAAAAAGTTCACCAACAGCGCTATCACTTTTTTCACAACAATATTGAATAAATACAAAGGGTCTCCAAACTTAATTTTGGAACTGTGGAATGAGCCTATATGTCCTTGGAATAAATTAAAAGAGTATTACAATGCTGTGCTAGCAGTAAGTTTTTAAGGCTTAACTACATATCAAACATCGTTGTAAAAATTTGGTTGGGTATTGGTTGAGTGAGCTGCCTGGAGATCTTCCATATAGTTTTCAGCTATGTCTCTTATAACGAGATCAGTCTATGCTTACGTTGTAAAAACTATATGGGACATATTGCTCATAATCAACGTTTTTATTATTCACTTTACTTAAGTCCAGGGCTCTCATTCGTGCTTTATTTGAAAGTATTATACTTTGAAACCGACCTCCATACTTAAGAAATTGAATTTATACTTTATTGAAAGTATATACTTTAAAATCAACATTTTGGATTGAAAATGAAATTGGGGAAGGGATTGGGCAAAAAAGTGAATTTTTTTAGCCTTGGGCCTTCGAAATTATCAAAATTTTCGCCTGCGGCGCTGAAAAAGAAAGAAATCTGGCTTCTTGGGCTCCAAATTTCAAAAAATTTTCGCCTGCGGCGCTGAAAATGGGAGAAATCTGACTACTTGGGCTCCAAATTTCAAAAAATTTTCGCCTGCGGCGCTGAAAATGGACGAAAGCTTGAGGTTAAGACTGTCAGGGCTTTATTTCTTGTATCAGCGAATTTTGACATGTCATGCGTTGAAATGCACAAAATGCCCAATGGAAGCAAGAAATTATTAGAAAAGATTCATTTAAGAGAGAAATATAAAAGATTTGAGCACGAACAAATATTTTCCAATTTAATTTTGAGTATACTTTAAATTTGGAAATTTTCTCCCTATATACTTTTTTATCAAGATTTTGATACTTTTGAGTGGCATTTTGTCGATGAGAGCCCTGCTTAAGTCAATCAAGATTACACCTATACGGTTGCTCCACATGTTGGGAATATAATTTTTTGAATGCCATGCTAGACATCAGGCAAATGATATCGTTCTAAACTAATCTAGATTTTCAAAAGGCTATTACTTTCAAACCTTTTAAGCCGTGTTTCTTATAATGAGTTCCGACTATGCTTGCGTAGTAAAAATGATATGAAACACATTGCTCATGATCAACGTTTTTATTCTTCGTTTTTCTTTAGCTAGCGAATATTACTCATATAGTAGAACTTATAGTGTCTTCATATTCATTTTTTGAATGCCATGCTAGAGCATTAGGCAAATGATTTAGTTCCAAAGCTAGTTTTTATAAAAGCCTAGAAATAGGTAATTTTAATTTTAGTATACGATTTCTAAGATTGATTCTGTATTAGATCGGGTGCTCATAGATTATATCTCTAAATTTTATTTTAAAACTTCCCTAATTATTATTCCTTCGGACAGAATTTTCTGTCAATTAAGAGTAAATCAGCCTAAAATACTCTTTGGGAGCCATATTGGGATGACCTATGGAGCGAAGTTTAAGTGCATGGGATGGGCACAATTTTAGAGAGGTTCAACTGAAAATCTACCATCGTATCTCTTTAAGGATCTATTACATATAATATATTTAATTAATCTCAACTTAAATAGCATGAATAATTTCTTTTTCCTAAAATATTTACTTTGATTATGTGTGTTATTTTTGTATGTCGCTTTAAGCAGACAAAAATTTTAAATTGAGTGCTTAGATAATTTAGTCATCCAAACGTCAGGCTTCTTGATCTAGATAACAACCTCTATCTGATAGTTGGCTTTTTATTTTTTCAGTCACAAGTTTGTAATGAGATCCGATGTATTTTGTAGATTAACTAACCTTATTTTCTTCAAAATGATTTTTCCGCGTATTCTGCTCATAATCAACGTTTTTATTTATAACCTTTCTTAAGCTTAAATGAAGACTTTACATACGCATACTCGGGAAATCAGAAACCAGACTGTAATTTTTTGGATGCCATGCTAAAGCTTTAGGCAAATTATATCATTCAAGCTAGTTTGATATACCCACAAGGGATTACCTAAAAAGGAATTACGACTTTCTAAACTTTAAATTAATTATATAGCGTGTTCGAAAACTTGACCCGAATGTTGTTGTAATACTCGGTACTCCTTGGCAATCAGCTGGTCCAGGTGATGATGTCATTAACAGTCCCGTTTCTGGAAAAAATTTATTGTAAGTTGTAAATAATCTTAAACGGAGATTTATTATTCATAAAATCGAAATCAGTTTTGTTAGTTAATCACACTAACATTCAAAAATAAATTTTTTAGTGTTGGAAATGTTATAAAATTTTCATGAGCTTTGCAATTTAAGGTTAACAAAATAAATTTATTTACGGAGTAAAAATACCGTAAATGATTAGCCTCTATCGAACTTTCCAAAAATTTTTACCAAGAAAGTTCATTATTTAGGTATGCTCCACATTATTATGTTGTCCCAAATAACGAGCATATTGAGAATCAAAAGAAACGGATTTTAAAAGCCAAATCAAAAGGAATTGGAACTTTTATTAGTGAATATGGCGATGCTGATGTTAATCTTCCTGCTCCGCTTAAACCAAATGAAATGAAATCTTTGTAATTAATTTGTAATATGGGTGGGAATCAAGATGGGAGCAATTCCGCTTCTATCTTCCTTCCGCTATTAAATTGCGGAGTCTCTCCCAGTTGAATTCCTCCGAACCAGTCCCTCGCCAAACATCGTTTAAGTTCAGATCTATGTGATGTGACCAGAACAAGTATAAATGTAGCAAAATAACCGTCTATGTATAGTACTACGGTTTGGGCTTATTCCATTCAATTCCATCCTCCATTCAATCAATTTTACAGCATGAACATAACAGGGAAAAGTCGGGCCTCCAAAATTTTATTATGATCGGGTTTCGGGTCATGAGTAACCCGGCCCATCCCTGGGACATGATAAGAGGTGTATTCGTTCTAGAATATCTAAGGTTATTATTTCCAACTTTTACACGCTTCTACATTTTAGTTGGGCATTTATGGATCAGAACAAACTTTCCTACTGCAAATGGTCATTATCTAACAAAGATGAAGTCTACTCCTTAGTGCTGCCTCATTGTACCCCTGACCAGGCAAACCAAGAAAGATGTCTCAGTCCCTCTGGAAAATTGCTTCGCGATTATATGAAAAATCAAAGGAATGGTAAGTCTTTTTGTTAATTTAAAAATAAATTTTGTTTAAATTTTAGGTATCACAGGCTGTTGATGTATTGAATTAGACTTGTTGAAAGGTTGCTAGCGGTTCATGAATAAAAATTGTTATGTTGTTGTACTAAAATTACTTTTTAACTAAATAGATATTTTTGTATATGATACAATTAAAACATGAATAATATTAGTTTATAAATTGTTGTGTAGTGGTGCCACTATAGTCTCTCAAATAGTTACGCCCTCCCTATTAATTTCCCACTCCAGCGAGAGATCGAAAAAATAATTACCCCTCCTAAAAATAGTTATAATTAGCTTTCTTAAAAATGCTCAAATTACTACACCTTCCTTTTAATTACCCCCTCCAGCGAGAAGTTAAATCGATAATTACCCTGGGTAATTATTTTAGCAAATACGGTAGTTGGACCAGCGGGGCTAGTCACTGATCTCCGCGTCTTTTTCAGCTCTCCAATCCCTTAGCCTTCATTGTTCATTTCAACGTCGGATAAACTATTATTCTTGTGCACGTCAACATCGAACAATCTTCGGACACAACCGGCAAACCTCCGATTGTCACATAAATATAAAAGTATAGTACTGGTGTTGGTCTTATTTTTGGATGTCATGAAATGAATTGGCAATAAATAATGTAATTTCGAAAAAATTTCAAGAAAACAATATGACATCTAGAATTCATTCTTAATTTAATACAATAGATGTTTTGTCAGCTTAAATGCGACATCCAAAAAATTAACTGTCCCGACTACGTCAAAATAAATTGGTAAAAGTTCCGTCTAAATTTAAACTGATATTAATTAATTAAATCAAATTAAGTAAATTATTAGATATAAAACTAATTTTCCAATAAGCTTATTAATAAAAATAGTTTTAAAAGTTTATTTTACGTGCCCTTTTATTGATGCCCTTTTAAGTTAAAGGATTATATTTTTACCCTTTGTTAATTCCGCCAAACATGAGCTTATAAAAAGTAATATTTTGCATGCGAAGGAAGGGATGGAGAGAGGAGCCACGAGAGAGGAAACGCCACGAGGCCATAAGAGAAGGGAGAGGAGATAGGAGAGAGAGAAGGGAGAGATGAGACACCTTGAGAGGAATTTAAAGAGGAGTCGCCATGAAAGGAGGGAGAAAAGAGACGCCATTAAGGATGGAGAGATGAGTAGATCAGTTTCAAAAGAGCTCTAGAGAGAGCTGCCATTAAAGGAGAGTGGGGGGAGAATAGACTCCTTTAGCTTTTTTAAAAAATAATTTTAGCATTTACAAAAATTTACTTATTATAATATTCTATACATATTTGTCCATTGATTTTATTTTATAATGAAGCGGGGATAAGCTCTCATATAGCTTTGGGATTATATTTATTTTTTTATTTTGAAATTTTAATTTATTTTATTATGAAGCGCTTTTCAATGCTAAAATTTTTTATATTAATTTATTTAATATTATTATTTCAAATATATGTCGTAAATTCAGGAAGTAAGAAATATTTTAAATTTGCTAAACAAAAATAGAAAGTTCCAAAATTATTAAAAAAAAATTTTTAATTTTCACAAACCGAGCCAAGAAAAGCAGTTTAACGCTGTTGGAAGGGTTTGAGAAATCACTCTTGGGTGACCAAAACTTCTTAATTTTGAGCAGATATACCTAGTTTTTTTTCTTAGTATCGATAAATAATTTATTGGAATTTTTTAGATTTTTTTCTAAAATTAAAAACGCAAAAATTCCAAGGGAGGCTATCTTTTTATCCGTAAAAGTTCTGGCATTTTTTAAAAATTTCAATTTTTTAAAATTCCTTCTAATAATTTGAAAAACTTTTAATGTCATCCATCTTGTTTGTCATTTAATCGAATATTTTTTTGCGAAATTTAATGATATTTAGCGAACTCAGTCCAGATTACGCATCCCATTTGTCCGAGTCCAACTAGATATTTTTCCGAAACTTTTTTCTCAAAGTTTCCAAAACCAAAAAATATATCCAAAAAACAAACCAAAACGGGATCCAAAATTTCCAAAAAAAATAAAATTTCTAAATTTGTAGATTGTAATATTTTACAAAATACAGGGCTAAACTTTGACATGAAAAATGCATTTTTACCCGTTTTTATGTTCGGGCTCGGTTTTTTTTGCTATCCAAAAACTAAGTGTTTAGTATTTGGTACCAATAAATTTACTAAAGTGTTAGGTGTAAAATAAAAAAATAATTATCAATTTCCGATAAGAATGAAGAAAGTTATGTTAAAAACAAAAAGTTGCGCGAATTTGCCGCACCCTGTACATTTTTCATTATAAAATTAAGAGGCATTAAAATAAAAAAGACGGCAAAATAAAAAGAGAAAATTTTGATGCCCTTTTAATATACGTGTTTTTATTTGTCTCCCCGCCAAATTAATAGTCAATTAAAAATAATTTACAAAAGGTTAAGGAAGGAGACAATATTTCACAATTACGGCTATTTTTATAAAAAAATTTTTTACATTCGCATATAGCAAGGCTGTCTATTATTTTATACATATTTGCCCTTACAAATTAGATTCATTTTTCATTAAACGGTATTTAAACTCACGTTTCAATTTCATTTATTATCCTTACAATGCTAAAATTTTATATATTAATTTATTTAATATTGTTTAAAGTATCTGAAGTAAATTCAGGAAGTAAGAAATATTTTTAATTTTGCTCAACTAAAATAAAAAATTTTTAAAAATGTCCAAAATAGTTTAAAAAATTTTTTTAATTTTCACATGCCGTAACAAGAAAGGTAGTCCTTGCATAATTTTAAAAAATTTCCTTGTAGTCACATTCATTCAGTCACTCTTCCTACAATAATTCCACTTTTTATTTGTAACCGTCTTTAAATATCAAAAAATAAACATCGATTTATTCAGTCATTTATTAATAACAAGGGCAAAATGTATGAAACAGGCAGTCAAAAATAAAAAAAAGATGTCTGAATTGAAGGAAGCATGATGAATTTTTTTACTGCAGGGAAATTTTTAAATTAGGCAAGGAAGAAGTGACTGACCATTGCGTACTTCAAATAGAACGCTGATGGGTGGGAGGGAATAAATACCCCTGTCTCTTTCTCTTTGGACGGAAGGCAAAAATAAATATTACACATTTTTGTTTATTTATATGACCGCCAGAGGGGCTCAGACTTATTTTTCTGAAAGTAATAGGAAAAAACGATTGACATATAAAATGTTATTTTTTAAATTTATAGATTGCTGTAGTGCTGATGGCGATGCAGAAAGAGACATATATGAAGACGTACAAGGAACCACTCAAATAGCGCAACATGGTGATGAAGTTCCTAGTTCTGGATTAATACCTTCAAGTGCCGACACTGAAGAACGAGAAGCTGCGGCTAGAGCAGCCTTTATGAGAAATGAAGAAGCTAATAGAGCTCGTGCAAGAGAAGCATTTATAGCATCACGTGGGGGTATGGAAAGATTTCCTGGAGAATTTAATAGCTTGTATGACGACTCAGAAGAATCAAGTTCAGATCAAGCTGGGCCATCTCTCGTTTTGCCTCCAAGAGGTGTTTATTGTTATATATTAGGGCATTTTTTTAATGATTAACATATCTTTATTCAAAATAAATTGATTTTTCTTTTTTAATGTACAGTAGAAGCACCTAATCTAGAAATGATTATTTCCTACTTGGATGCTGTCGAAAATGCTATTATTGAAGTCTTGGGTGTGAATAATGAGGTATTTATTTAAGCTGTTATACAATTTAAGCTGTTATATTTTTTGATATTTGCAAACTTATCTAGTGTCGGATCCCGCTATTATTCGAGCACATGTTTTCAATTTTGTGTTCGCTATCTAGATTTGTACAGACTCTACAATAGTATTATATTGTGATGAATAACAAATTTTATAAAATCTTAAATTTCTAATCAAAAATATTTAAGGATCACCTTCTTCTTCTAGAAAAAACAATCCCTGTTTTAACTCAAATAGAGATGAATCTTGACAAATTACGTTCATCAAATAATGATACATTTTTAAGAGTTATAAACGAAAGAGCAACTAAATTTTGTGGAAATTTGGTGCATACCGACCCAGCAAATGTTTCTATGAGTCATAGAATATTGCCAAATTTGTATGCAATTGATGAAGATGAGATTCAACAATATGAAAGATATAGCAGTGGTCATATCACAATGCCACAGCTTTTTCAACAATTTCCACAACAATTTCCTCAACTTCCACAACAACAACCACCAATACATGAAAGTGGAGCGGATATTGCAACAGATAAAAGAATTGGCCGTAATGTATGTCGACTTGGGGTCTATTTTGCAATGTGCAAAGTGCTGCATAGAAGACTATTTGACTATAGTCAGAAGAGTTCCAGAAAAATAATAAATCAACAAACTAAAGCCCATGCAGTCAGTAATATTTAAATCTAATTAATCACTACTGTTATGTATTATAATATCGCCATTTGAGAGAAAAGCTTGGGTTCGCCATTTTCGAGTAAAGCTTGGGTTTTAACCTCCCAACACGATAAACATCTATATTTACTAATCCATTTTCTTCCGTTAAGATATTTCTTTCAAAATATTACAAATTATGGAGCGCTGGACTCAGTATTTTAAAAGAAGATAATTCTGTATTTATTGTCACCAATAAGGTTAATTAGTCTTTTTAATAAGAAATTTCTCATTTTGTTTTAGATAAGAGCACGTATAAAACATCTGACACTTAAAAAATTGGTAGCAGATTTAAATATTGTAATAGGTTGATAATTACAAAAATGATTAGAAGATGATTAAAGAATGGGCTTCATCGTTATTCTCTTGTGTGGTTTAAAATGTTATTTAAGCTAGGCATTGAGTTTTTGTGGTGACTTGAAAGTTGCCGGGCAGTTTTCATTTCATCAAACCTTTTTCTGATTTTTATTAAAATCTTTTCAAGGCAAAGGGTGGGCTCTTCGAAATTTTTTATTATATTTGTTCGTTGTTTTATCCTCTATCATTTAAGCCTTATTTGATCCCATTTTCTTTAATTTGAAGAATGATTTACCAAAAACACGTGCCCATTTTCTTTTGGGTCATCCAGTTTGTTACAATCTATCTTTTCTTTTGGGTATTGTCTTTTAGTATAAAAGCATTTCTATTCACTGTCTCTGTGTTGAGATAAACATTCTGACTAATTTCAAATACACTTAATTACATATACTACAATTTCAAAAGGTAGGACTCCGAGGCCTATATTCGGCCTTGCTTGAAGAGCTTTTTCTAACGCTAATCAAGCAAGAAGCTAAAATGTTCAGGGACAGGAAAATGGGGTTTGAACCAAACTATTATACTTAAATCACTAAAACTGGGACACTCAACAATCCCTTCGGGGGTTAAAATGTTTTTTGAAGTACTTAACCCCGTTTTCTGTTGATTTTGGTGTCTTGAGATCTCAATGAAGAAAAAATTTACAGGCTTCAGTCTTTTTGCTTTTCTACTCGATATTGATGGTAATGTTAAGAGGAATTTTTGTAGAATTTTTGGATCACTTATAGTAAAAAAAAACAAATTGAAATCTTGCTCGTATAATTATGAAACACCCCAAATTTTGAAAAAAAAAATCAATTAAAATTTAGATTTATTTAAAAATTTTTGCAACATTCAGAATCCTAATATTTATAGAATATCTACTAATAGAAAAATTAGGGCTCAGTCCGTACACAGGAAGTATGGGCAATGCCAGAAAAATGCTTGCTCGTTAATTATGAAACAGACTTTAGTATATAAATCACAACAGAATCTTAACATACGGATTCTGTAAGCGATTTTGCAACTCTAAAAATTTATAAATTATTGAAATTATTCTTTTTTTTAGCATTTTTTTAATTTGCCACATTTTAATATGCAGGAATTAAATTTTTAAAATTAAATTTTTTAATAAGTTTTGCTTCAAATATATCTAAAGCTGCATTTACGTCAAATCAATTCAGCTAAATAAACGAAAAGCTTTAATATGGCTTTAAAATATTTTGCCTTGAAAAGTTATCCAAAAATCAAAGATCCAAAGATAATCCATTAAAAATTTTCAATTAACTTGCGATATCTTATTTGACGTCTTTAGTCTGCGATTATCAATATATAAACGGAGTGTTTATCGAGGTAAATATTCAAAATTCAATTTAAGAATTGAATTACTAAAAGCCCTAA